CTATTATAATATCAGCACTTCAATTTTATTTATAGCAATAAATTGGCTTATTAACAAAAATTACGGACTCAATAAGCAGACGTTTTCCTTTCACTTGTCACCATTATTTTGTTTAGTTAGAAAAAAAATATAGATTCTAGATCTCGACAATAACGTCACCTACCGAGTCCAAGTACGATTAAAAACAATCCAGATTACCCCATAAGTACACTAAAGAATTTAATCAAAATCGGTCAAGCCGTTAAGGAGAACAATTACGAACACACGCACACCGGATTTTTATATAAAAAAAATAAGATATTGGCGTTGATACTGATGATGTCAAGTATTGAATTAAAATAAGAACAGGTGAAGCCACACTTAGACGCTAGTTAATAAAATTGAAGTACCCGAAACACCCACTACCTTAAAATATATCAATCAAAACTGTGCGTAAGTACATTACTATTTACAGTTTGTATGACACATACAAATATTGTATTACACAACAAGTCATTTCACACAAAAAGTTCACAAACACCGTTTCTCAAATTAGATGTTGCGACCACTACAGAAGAGTTGCATTAGGAAAGGGCTAGCAAAATATTTGTATAATAAAAAACTAACTATGTTTACCAATTTTAAATACATTTGTTATAAAATCATATGATATTAATAATGTAAACCTTTATTAAAAAAAAAAATTACATCCCAGGGACTGGAAACAAAAAAGTTTGAGAAACGTTGCAATTAAATACGAAAATCTAAGCAATTTTTTTGTTATGATATTGAACTAAAATGTGCTAAAACGCATTTCAAATATTACTATATACTCTAAGTTCGTCATAAAACCTCAAAAATATTGAAAAAAAAACCACCCTTCGAAAAACTAAAATTTTAGCAACCCTGATTCCAAAATAATGGATGAAACTTCTTACACCATTTAAAGAACACTTAAAGCCAACAATAAAAAAAAAAGAAAATCGGTTGACAAAGAGACGAGAAAAAGGTCCTGAACTGGTTTTCTTTGCATATTTATATATCCATACTTAATATTGTAAATGTTAAAGTGTGTTTGTTTCACGTCGAAACCGAGTGACGGATTGTCGTGACTTTTTGTGTGTAGATAGTTGAAGGTCTGGAGAGTGACATAAGCTACTCTTTACCGCGGGAGATTATCTCAATCCCACGGGAAAACACGTTATAATACAACACACAACAACTCATCATACCTATACGATAATAATATTCATTTGTTTTAGTACATTTTAGTTCAACCAAAGATCTAATACGACAAATAAAAGAGTATGCCCTATAACCATACATTTTACACATTATCCATTATATATATATACACACAAAATCGACCGTCCGTCTGTATAAAAAAACTGGCAGTGTATTAACGACTTGGGGTAATACAAATTTAATTTAACTGTTTTTATTCGAAAATCCATATATTTACATAACTTATTCTTTATAAATGAGTCGAATTATATAAAATATTTAAGTTTATGTACAAAATACCTTTCAAAGCCCCAGTCTATAATGTTTTACAACAAAAATCATCAAAACCAATACGTCCCATTTGGCCATCGATCAAAAAAGTACTAGATACACAATCCCATGCAAAAGTTCTCTTAAAACTGTCACCAATTGTGTTTAGGTAATTATTCAAGTTGAAATTAATATACAACAATGTAAATTGAACCTTACATGCAATACTTAGAGTTGTTTTCACAATTTTTTTGAATTAAAAGCGCGTTAAAATGTTCAAATGAGCGCTCATTCGGTGAGGACATTTTTTGTCGCTGATCTTTATATATGATATATGATACTTTTTTGATCGATGCATTTAGCGATAATGTAGGTCGTATTTCATAAGAAAATAGAAAACTTAGAACAAAAAAAAAACGTATTATTTTTTTTAATTAAAAAATACGATTTGGTCATATTTTAATTTCAGTCAAACTCACCTATAGCGGAATATTATAGTCTATTTAATCATATACATACCTAAACAATAATATTTTGTCCGTACATTTATTTATCCAATCTGGCAGCACAACATCAAGTGACGTCACTTAAAAAATATCGATACCTTACAACTACACTTAACATCGATAACATATTACCACCTGTATTTCCCGCTACATCTTTTTTTGAACTGGTAACAATATATACAAGTCACGATGACGTCACATCACTACCGAACTGTCCAATCTTAGTTACCTTGACATATTCACTAGCCGCCACCATTTTTAACCGACTTACAAAAAGGAGGAGGTTCTATGTTCGTCTGTATGTATTATTTTTTTTCGTTTTTTTTTAGTCGTATTCAAATATGGTAAGCCAAGATGGCGGTGCGATTTCTTGCCTATAGTTGTAAATTCATCAAAATTAATTAGAGATGGCGCTATATTATTATTACTTTGAAGCTAATACTATTTTATTGTTTAAGCAGTCGTAAGTGGTGATGCCCGAGAGTGAGTGAGACAATAATACTATCTCTATCTCTTTCTAGTGGAAGAATGATGCAAACAAGAAAGCTTTTTAATCACAAAACATTTCTTCATCTTTTAGAACACATTGGTAATTTGAGCGTCGTTTATTGTTTCTTCCTTTTGGACCACAAAACATCAAATTTTTTCAATGGAACCGACGGTAACTCGCCATTTTAATTTTTTTTCCAAAATTTGGGCGCTCGATAAAACTGGTATAAATTCATAAAAGACACGTCAACAAATAAATGATATCAGCAATATGGTGTTCTTAGGTGTCACGTTTTCGAGATATTTTGAAGTAAAGATATTTTTACTTTTTTTAAGAAAACAAGTGGAAAATAACAATAATAAAACCCGCCACGGCAATGGCACGAAGGATTCCGTACCATTATCTATAAAAACGGCAAAAAAAATTATGTCTGTTGTATGGGAGCCCCATTAAATACTTATTTTATTCTGTTTTTAGTATTTGTTGTTATAGCGGCAACAGAAATACATCATCTGTGAAAATTTCAACTAACTATCACGGTTCATGAGATACAGCCTGGTGACAGACGGACAGCGGAGTATTAGTAATAGGGTCCCGTTTTACCCTTTGGGTACGGAACCCTAAAAATGGCGGAATGTTAAAAACGCAACAAAGGTATAATGCCCTTTGCGACGTAAACATACACCATATAGTAATTTCAAAACACTCAATCTCATTTCACTAAGACAATGCATAAATATATATATATATATATATATATATATATATATATATATATCTAACACTCCATATATTATTTTAGTCACTATCCATAGTAGTATTAGCACAAAAATTTGTTACACAAAGACATTATAAAAAACCACCGCCATATTGGTTTTCAAAGTTTTCTTTATAAAACAGAATAAATAGAGAAAAATCTAAAATTTTAAACTCTCGCTTTTCGCTTATACAGACAGATATATTGATAATTTCTCTCGAACATGGAGACTTGCTTTCAATATTATCAAGTTATTGTTTGTTTTCCCTACCAAAGACAGAAATCTCACTAATATTATAAAAATGTTTGTATGTATGTTTGTCACTTCCGCTGTATCGACTAAAATTCGAATGGAGATACTTCATATTCTGGATTATCACACAAGCGTGGTGAAAATAACAAAGATTGTTCGAAGTCTTTAAACTTTCATAGTTATTGACAATCTATACTAATATTATAAAGAGGAAAGATATTTTTGTTTCTTTGTTTGTTTGTACCGAATTGGCTTCGAAACTAATGAATCAATTTATATGAAATTTGGTAAGAAGATAGTTTGAGACTCTGGGGGCTGGGAGTGACATAGGATCCCTTAAGGGGGTGAATATGGGGATGAAAGTTTGTATGGGGAAGCAACCTAGGGACGAAACCGAGCGAAGCGAGTGCGAGTCGCTAGTATTTTTATAAAGTAAAACGGGGAAAAATTTGTATTTTTCACCTACTTTTATGACTTTCTAATATTTCTACACTTCGATATGAACAAAACGTACTATAGAGAGGGTAGCTGGATATGTCTGCTAATAAAAAGTTTAACATCCACCCACATTCTTCAGTATATTCGTGACCATGGCGCTTGTAACATTACCAAAATATCTCGAATGAATGAATGATGAATGAACTGAGTAAAAATATGGTAAAATAATACTTTCTTATTTTTAGATTAACGCGATAATTTGACATTTTAAATAAAACTATCTTTTAGGATTTTTTGGCGGATTTATTTAAATTTTTGGTACTCGACGTTTCGAATGCTTTACAGCGCACATGTTCACGGGAGAGACACGTGAAACTTAAGGAATTAGATAGATAGTTTTATTTAAAACATGGCAAATATGCCGTTTCACATGAAATATTGAATTTCTGTCAAAATTCTATCTTTAATAGGCCATACAATTTAATCTATGATAATGATATACTCCGAATCACGTTATATAACGTTTAGAGATGTCTCTTCCATACATTTCGACTCTAGCAAACAGCAACATTGTAACTCTAAAATAAAATAATTTAAAGATTATAAAAAAAATAAGTTTTAGAACATATTTATTTATATATGTAACTTTGTATGTATGTTTATTTATGTTAATTTTTAAGTTATCTGTAATATACCATTTAATTGTGGAACAAAGTGTTATATAAAAATTTAATAAATATATATATATATATATATATATATATATATACATACATACATATCGAGCAAAAATAAAGTCAATAATAAAGTTTTATATATAATATATATATATATATATATATATATATATTATATATATATATATATATATATATATATATATATATATTTATATATATAAATCCCCAATACTGAGTTACAATATTATTCTTTGCAAATTCCATATCCATAGGTTATCTATCTATAAGCGATAACCATCATAGAATTCAACACTCACTTAGCTATATATAGAATACGACCGAGCTATGAGGTAGGAGGCTCCCATGGCCATGACTATGGTGGCGGCGTTCATATGTGGTGTCAGTGACGCAGGAGCCCTCGGGCTTTGGCCGTCAGCTTCCTTACGCGGCCTCGAGATGATATCGACACCGGACCGGAGCCCCCGGACCCTGAAGACATGCCGGCACCTGGAAAAATATTATATTAATATTATTATAGTAAAAAAATCTATTTTGACATTTGATAATGTGTCATTATATGAAACTGTCAAAGTGTCAAGTGTCATTGTCAAGTTGACTTTATTTTTGCTCGATATGTATGTATGTATATAAATAATTAAATATTTATATAAACGCATAATTTCATTATTCTTGATATAACGAGTACTCTTTAAATTCATTTTCTTTATAAATATACTATTATAAAAAAAGTTACAAATCGAGATTTACAACGCCATCTGTCGACATTTCTATTTATTAGTTACTAGCGGCCCACCCTCGCTTCGCTCGGGTTCGTCCACATGTACGTTTTAACGTTTAGCATGGATCCCACGGGAACTGTACATTTTTCCGGGATAAAGTAACCTATGTGCTGTTCCAGACTATAATCTATCTCTGTGCCAAATTTCATCCAAAACCGTTCAGCAGTTCTGGCGTGAAAGAGTAACAAACATCCATCCAAACTTTCGTATATATAATTAACTCAATATAAAAATGAATAAATTAATTAATTATTAATTTCATACACTAATATAGTATTTAAGGCTAAATTGTTTTTACTAACAAATATGGATGTAACATTTTGATATAAAATTATTATTATATTTATGGGATTACTTTGTTCCCGACAATTCAAATGCTTTAAAAAGCAAGGGCACTAATATTTTCAAGGTCTCAAAAATCATAACTATTAATTACACTGTCGAATATCTCCCCACAAAATTACACAACAATTTGAAAGAAAAACAATGGTAACAGAGCACTGAAGTATTTTACAATTTAAAAAAAAAATAAAAAAAACTTATTAGTGTTGCTATAGTTTTACCATATGAAATTATTTAATTTGGGTTGCTATTATAATAATCTTTACAATTTTTTCTTTCTTCCTCACAGGGGACCCCTTGGTTTAGCCATCCACTGTAATTAACGGTAACAAACATTTTGAAAATTATTAATTGTTTTTTTTTTCTAAATACATACATACACACGAACATAGAACCTGTTCTTTTTTCGAAGTCGATTTAAACATTACTTTTAAACAAAAAAGGTTTTCAACTATTATTTTTTTTTGATTTCGACTCCATTCTTTTATATAGTTATTAGCAGAAATCGCGGTTTCGCTCGCGCTAAAACTACAAAAAAATATCTCTAAAAAGGTAGGTTTCATACAAACTTTCATCCCCTATTTTACCTCCCTTATGGGATGAATTTCGAAAACTGCTAAAACACGTATTTATTTAATTATATTGAAGAGAATTAATACCAAGTTTACAGTAATTCTGATCAGAAATAATTTTATAACGTATTTTCCCGTGGGAATGAGATGATCTCCCGCGATAAAAAGTAGCCTATGTCACTCTCCAGCTCTACTATCTTTACACCAAAAATCACGCCAATCCGTTTCGATGTTAAAGAAAGACAAACAAACAATCAAATCTCTTTATAATATTTGTATACATAAAACGTACCTCAGGACGCGAGACGTCGTGTGAGTCGCTAGTAATATTATAAAATATATTCACCATTGTGTCTAGGTGCGTGTCCGTTGAAGTAGTTGTGATCGTTCGTGGCAGCGTTGGCCGCGCTCGACGCGCTCGCCGGCAGCACGCCCACGTTGGCGGAGCCCTGGGACGTTCAATTTAATTATTAGAACACACGTTTGGCTCAGTTTGTAGTGGCCCTACTTGCTGTGCCAGCGGTCGCGGGTTCGAGTCCAGCTGGAGGCATTCATTTGTGTGATGAGCACGAATGTTTATACTCCTGTCATGGGTGTTTATATTTGTACTATGTGTGTATTTAAAGTTATATATTTTCTTTGCTCGTTATGATGGATTTATATAAACTAGTGTTCGCAAATTGGACGAAAATATGGCCAACAGGATTTGCTATCTATATGTACACACATATCTTTTTTTAATCGAAAACACTAAAGCTATGTATTCAATACCTAAAACAAAAGAAATCGATTAAGAAATAGAGGAGAAAAAGTTGATACTTTGAATTAATATGTCTTCATTGTTTTTTTTTTAAATAAGTAAATAATTCGAAAAGTATAATAATTAAATGAGAATAGATTAAATATAAAAAAGTGACAAAAATTGCGTAATTGAGTGAGAGATGTTAGGAAGAAGGGATGTAAGGCAGAGGTGAGAGGGAGGGGATGGTACGGGGCGGGCTGGTACCTGGGCGTGGTGCCTGCGGCGCGCGAGCAGCGCCTGCTGGTGGTGGTGGTGGCGGCGGTGGTGGTGCGGCAGGCGCTTGCTGATGGCCGCCACCGAGTCCTCCTCGCTGTCCTCGTTGTAGCGCCGCGGGGAGCCGCGCCGCCGCAGCGACACGCCCGCGCCGCCCGCCGCCGCGCCGCCCGCCTGCACGGACACACGCACATACAATATCTATATACATATATACACACACACATTTGTATCACATTGATGAAATGTGTATATACTATAGCGTCTCAACCTCGCTTCGCTCGGGTTCACCACTAGGAATACAAAAACAAACCTATCCCACGAGAACTGTACATTTTTCCGGGATAAATAGTAACCTATATATATATACTAATCCAAATTATATAATCTATCTCTGTGCCAAATTTCATCCAGATCCGTTCAGCCGTTCGGGCGTGAAAGAGTAACAAACATCCATACATACTCACAAACTTTCACATTTATAATATTAGTATGGACCATATAGCGTAACTTATTACACAAAATTTCCATAAACGATAACGTTCAAAATTATTATACCTATCAGACAGCCTCATGGAATAATATAGACAAGAGCGTCATAGAACTAAATATGAAGCCAATGAAAAAAGCCCATACGAGTAATTTCTATACTGAGTGATATGTAAATAAATGTTAACTAGCAACTCACCCTCGCTTCGCTCGGGGGTTCGTCCCTATATACGTTGCAACGGTTAGTATGAAATACAAATCTTTGAATTCCTCGGCTTTTCTGTACTATAATATGCATGTATTATAAAATTATAAACTTTCATTATGAATCACTCTATCTATTGCTGAAATCTACATTAAAATCCGTTGTGTAGTTTAAAAGATCTAAGCGAACAGACAGCGGACGCGGCTTCATTTTATATTATGTAAAAATAAATAAAAATAGCTAACGTATTTTATAAAATATTTTTTTTCTTTATATATAAAGAAAAAAAAACATATTATGTTTTATCTCTTTCAAGTGAAAATTAATAGCCAGCATGGTGGACTATGGCCTGATCCCCCTCGTTGTGAAGGGAGGCCCACCCCCAGCAGTGGAACGTTAAAGATGGCTATATACATACCCTGTGCGAATTATGTGTTACTCGAGACGGTCCTGCTTCATCATCCTCACCCTGCCTTTGCCTGAAATCATAATTTCTTTATATTATTATTTAAATAGAATATTTTTCTTATGTTTATAATGAGTTAAATAAAAAACAAAAATTAATTTATACATATAAAAAAAATACCAGATCACTGTCTGTACATAAAAAATATTTAAAAAAAACTATAATTGGGGGTCTTTATTAATGCAGCAGAACCCAAAACAATAGTTTTTAGATTTTTTATCTGTTTGACTGTACGTTTGAGCGCGTTAATCTCAGAAACGGCTGAACCGATTTGGGTGCGACTTTTACTATTGTACTGTGGCAAACTTCACGTAACATGAAATATTTGTTTCAATCGGTTCAATAATTAAAAAAAAATATGTCAATTTAAAGAATCATCCACGGACGAACCCGAACAAAGCGAAGGTGAGTCGCTAGTATAATATATGAGATTCGTCAGAATTAAATGAGTCCAAGCTTATTACTATGGTCTGAAGTCCCTCGTATCGCCCTCCACTTGGAATGCCCACGCCCAGCAGAGGGAAGGCAAAATAGCGATGGGCGATTGTTGCAATAAAAAAAACAATCGACTGAATCGAAAATGGTGCTATTGCGCATTCGATTGTCGATTTAGTAGGTCCTCGTCATAATTATTCGAATAAATAAATATAAAAATAAATGTGTTGGTACATTAACACACAGCGCCATCTAGTTCCATGGCTTGGCTTGGCTAGTTACGAGGCTTGTTTTATGGATACCGGATAGTTGATATACTACACATATATAACTTTAAATATATACTATTATAAATATAAACACCCATGACTGGAGTAAAAACATTCGTGCTGATCACACAAATGAATGCCCCCAGCGGGACTCGAATCCGCGACCGCTAGCACAGCAGTAGGGTCACTACAAACTGAGCCAAACTTGGCGTCATATAATAATCGACAAATTACTAACTGTACGCACGACGCACACTGCAGGTGAGTCGAATATTTTTAAATACTAGCGACTCACCCTCACTTCGCTCGGTTTCGTTAATTTTTTTGAGTGGAACACTAATCCTTTTCTAAAATAAAAGTAGCCTATGTTACTCCCTATAACATCAGCTATCTTCCAGTGAAAGTCCCATCAAAATCAGACCATCCGTTTCAGAGGTTATCCGGAACAAACAGACAGACAAATAAAAATTTAAACAAATGTGTTTCTCATAATATTTTCTTAGATTTTATTTAAATTGTGTTTTTCTTGTAAGTACTGTATATAATTTCATATGCATTCAGTAGAAAGCTGTTATTTTGACATAACAAGCAGACACTTCAATTTTATTTATCTGATTACATCAGTTTGTTTACGTACGAGTATAGTAGTATAAGTGCGCTGCGCTACAAATTAGCAGTTAAAGTTAACACGAAAACCGTCAGTCATTATCTCCTGCCTCATGCCGTTAATCGATACAGTATTCGAATCGATTAACATCGATTGTTATCGACTTTTATCGACTAAACTGAATAATCGACTGATTTGATTAGTTTTTAGTAATAATCACCCACTGCCGGGCCCAAAAGGCACTGTTGGCCCAGTGGTAATGTGCTCGCTTGGGAAACCGAATGAAGCTGGTTCAAATTCCGGATCGATCATCCGCCCGCACTCGGCCAACGTGGTAAACCATAGCCTGATCTCTTCACATTGAACAAAGGTTCACTCCCAGCAGTGGGACGTTAAAAAAATGGGTTGAATATAGGAATACAATAATCGCCCATTGCTACGTCAATGGGTTGGAACCCATGGAACCATGGTACCCATACCTGTACATGAGCAGGGGCGCGTCCTCGTCGCTGGAGTAGGCGGCGGGGCGGTAGGAGCGGTCCGACTCGTACCGGCGGCGCCCCGAACCCGAGCCGGAGCCCCAGCGCGACCCCGACGCGGACCCCGACGTGGACGACGACCAGCTACCCTCCGAGAAACGTTCTCGTATCCTGGAAATTGATATGTAAACGAAATTATTAATATCCTCCATATTAATACTTTCTTAGATTCACGCGAATATTTGACATTTTAAATAAAACAATCTTTTAGGATTTTTTCGCGAATTTATTTTGTTTTTTAGTTCCCAGTTCAACAGACAGAGTTACTTTCGCATTTATAATATTAATATGTATTTTAAATACAACTATGTTGGATTTTTTCGCAAAATTATTTTGATTTTTGGTTCCCGACGTTTCGAACGCTTTAGAGCAATCATGGTCACGGGAGTTTGTCGGCGGACGGCTGTGGGTGGATAGGGTGAGTAAGTTTATAATTTATAATTTTTTTTGTCATGTGACTACTTAACGGCTTTAGGATTATTAGGGTTCCTTTTTTCTTTTGAGATACAAACCCCGAAAAAGGTATTTAAATTGCAAAAAATATAAAAACAACTATATCTGATCTGACTATATATCTAACTATACTAAAACGATCTGACCCGGGACTCGAACCCAGGACCTCCGGATCTGCAGCTATATAGGATTGAACAAACAAACGAAACATAGAAGTATCTCAAATATCGAGGATATAAAAAAAAAACAAAAAAAGAAAGGATTAGCCACACAGGAAAAAAAATGTCAAACGCAAAAAGTTGTCAATAAAATACCAAATATCATCTCTCCGTGCTCATCACACAAATGAATGCCCTCTGCGGGACTCGAACCCGCGACCGCTGACACAGCAAGTAGGCTCACTACAGACTGAGTAAAACATGTCGTCATCGTCAAAAAATAAAAATATAAATTCTTATTTTTCAAGTCTTTATTATTCCTTTGTCTGTAACAGTTGTCAAAAATATATGTAACAATAAATGCGTATTGTGAATAATATAAGTTTTATTTCCATTTAAATACGAGGGGTGCGCATCTCCCGCGTGGCCACCCCTTGTATAAGCGCCGTCACGGGTCAGGTCACCATGACAACACCGTTGCGTACATACCGTTTGTGCGGCTTGGAGGCGCCGCTGCTGGCGGAGCTGCGCAGGCGCCGCCGCTTGCGCTTGCGCACTGCGCCCGCGCGCGTCGCCCTCTGGTGCAACGACAACAAGCATTATAATTTATATAATAATACCATATTTCTATACTGCAGTACCTGAGCGACCGAACTGTTCTTTTTTGTTATATCGCATTTTTTAGATAAAAAAAAACTAAAAACTTGAATAAATACAAAAAAAATTAAAGTCAAAACTTTGTATCCGACCGGGATTCGAACCCGGACACTGTGATTGTCAATCTTGCGCTGTGGCCGCTCGACCACGATGCTTATGTCCGAGCGTGCGAAATTAGCGACCATATTTTGCATGGAACAATGAGAAAAAAAACCGCATCAAAACTCTAAAACACGCGTTTACCCAGACATAAGACTAATCTAGATCGATATTTCGCCCCCGAATCGTTAGAGCCGTTTCCGAGATCGCCAATATAAATAAATGTACAAGAATTTCTCGTTTAAATATATTAGATCAGTTTTTTCTTAGAAATTTACCTGGAGTTGTTATAATATTAGCGTATAGTATACCTGTGGCCCGTTTCTAGTCCGATGTGCCTGCGTCGAAGGCTGTGGCTCGTACTCTAATTCTACCTCATCCTCTGCCAACTCTTCCTCCACGACCTGATGAAAACAGTTCACTCTATAATAATTTAATACATAATTATATATTTACTTGCGATAGTTTGTATTCAGCCCTTGTTCAAAATCAAACAAACACCAGTAATCTAATAAAAAAAAAACGTTGAATATAAAAAAAAAAGAATAAATATCGAACACTATATAAAAAATATACGAAAAAAGCAATCCCCAAATAAAAAAAAAGGTAATGTCCACAAACCAAATCCCATTAATTTCTTACAAACCGCTCACCCTGACTTTGCTCGAGTTCGTCGCTAGGTTGCATCCCCATACAAACTTTCATCCCCATTTTCACTCCCTTAAGGAATGATTTCCGGGATAAAAAGTATCCTATGTCTTTCCCAGAGTCGCAAACTATCTTACCAAATTTCATCTAAATCAGTCCACTAGTTTCGGAGCCTATTCGATACAAACAAACAATAAAAACCTCTTTATAATATTAGAATAGATAAGGTACGGAAACCAAAAAAAATAAAATAAAAAAAAACATAAAAAACAACAAAAACCCACCTCTATCCGCGAGTACGCGCTAGTATCGGAGGCAGAATCATTGGCCGCAGGTCGCCGGTTCTCTTCATCAGAGTCCGACGCTATACCATTACTCGTTACTGTGTAGTTTTCTGTAATAAAAAAAATATTGGTTTTCTGTAAAGTCGGTTTACGGAAGATAATTTTAAGCGATAACGTCATAAGAAAACATTGATGAAAAATTGCATACTTTTATGAATTAAATTATTATTACTGAGTTATCATTATCCATACTAATATTATAAATGTGAAAGTGTGTTTGTTTGTTTGTCTTTATTTCACGTCGAAAATTGGCAAATTGGCGTGATTTTTTGTGTGGAGATAGTTGGACGGCTGGAGAGTGACATAGGCTATATTTTTTCGCGGGAGATTGTCTCTTTCCTACGGAGAAAACACGTTATAACACAATCCAAAAAAATATTTATAATCAGAATTACTTGAAACTTGGTATTAATGTTCTTTGATACAATTAATGAAATACATGTTTTTAGAAATTCATTCCATAAGGGTTTAAAATATGGGATGAAAGTTTGTATCAAACCTACCAGTTTACGAGATTTTTTTTGTAGTTTTAGCGCGAGCGAAGCCGCGGGTTCTGCTAGCTTTATATAAAACAAAGAAGGAGTTAATTGAAAATTACAATTATTTTTCGATAAATTAACATTTATTCGCACGTTTTAACGTTAATTCAAATATTTTTTTACTCAAAATTATACAGATTAATTACAAGTAACAATGTGCTATAAAACAACTTGGGCCGATCGTGCCTCTCTATCGCTTGTTCCGCGCTCTCGCTCGCACGCTCGGCTCGGGCGGAACGTGACACTTTCTCGTGCGTGCAACTGGCGTTCATCGATTTATCAGACGTTATCACGTCAAAAAAACTTTGTTACTCATTGACATACAAAAACTCAAGATACGCAAATAGCGTCTCAAATGTGTCCTCAAAAAGATGATCACGCCAATATTTGACGGATCTGTTTATACAGCCATCATTGCGAGTCTCTCCGTGACCATGACTACTGTAAAACATTCGAAACATCGGAAATCAAACATCAAAATAAATCCGAAAAGATAGTTTAATTTAATTTTCTTTTTTAATTTTATGAAACAAGAACAAACCTATCCCACGGGAACCATACATGTTTCCGGGATAAAAAGTAACCTATGTGTTATTCCAGACTATAATCTATCTCTGTGCCAAATTTCATCCAGATCCGTTCTGGCGTGAAAGAGTAACAAACATCCATACATACTCACAAACTTTTACAACTTTTATAATATTTATACGGATTCTTTATTATCAATATCATACCAGGTGGCGGTCGACTGCTGGAGGATGCTGACGCGGCGCTTTTACTTTTCTTCCCTACGCCTTTACCTAGGAATATAAAATTACATTGTTAAAGATGCAACAAGTTTTATTTTATGTTGTCACGATCCTACGCATTACATGTCCAACACAGCAATTATAAATAAATATTATTTATTATTGTATTGAGTGTGGTGCCGAGGTCGGCCCTAGCTACGTCGACCAGTTATGGTCCATTGTAGTTCATAAATAAATAAATTTTACGAGATACGGTGGCTAAAGTTAATTTGTATATGTAATCTGAAGCATAAGCCTGAGGTTTATTCATCCCCACTTTTCACCAGCTTAAGGTATGATTTCCGGGATGACAACTATCCTATGTCTTTCCCAGGGTCTCAAACTAAACAAAATTCAAATTTCATCTAAATCGGTTCAGTAGATTCAGTAGACCCCCTACAATGTCACAAACTCACAAACACCTGAGAAAATCGGTGGTGACACACGGACAAGAGAGTGATCTTATAAGGGGTTCCTTTTTACCTTTCGAGGTACGGAACCCTAAAAAGCCCACCTTTCCTATGCGAAGTGAGCGGCACGTCGCTGTCCCAGGAGTCGTCGGCGGCGGCGCGCGCGTGCACGCGCCGCGACGTCTCCGCCAGCGGCTCCGACGAGCTGCACGACGACGCGCGCGCGCCCTCGCCCGCCGCAGCCGCAGCCGCAGCCGGCGCGGGGGCGGACTGACCTGGTCGATTCATATTAATATTATAATATTAGTACCTGAGCGAAAGTTTTTGGCCAGAAGTACAATTTTCTTTTTAATTTGGCTTGAAAAGAAAAAAAAAGGAAAATTAAAAACTTTATATTCGAACGGGATTCGAACCCGGACACCTACGATTGACAATCTTGCGCCTTGGCCGCTTGACCACGTGCTTATGCCCGAGCGATGTGAAGGAAAACAGCATGAAAAGTCGAAACACCCGCTTTCCCAGACATAAGAGACCTAGATCGATTTTCCGCCCCCGAAAACGTCCACATACCAAATTTCAGCGAAATCGTTAGAACCGTTTTTGAGATCGAGAGATTTTTTTAAATCATTTTGTAAAACAGTGAGTAGTCACTGTCTGTAACAAATGTATAACGCCTTTGAGACGTCTATAACCTTAGTCCCTCCCGTGACCATGATTGCTGTAAAGCATTCGAAACGTCGGTAACCAAAAAACCAAAAAATAAATCCGGGAAAAAACCCACAAAAAAGAAAGTATTAGATAAAATGTAAAGTAAATTACAAAACAAACAAGCCGCCACATACCCGCGGGCTTGCGCCGCGTGCGCGCGCGGGCGCGGCGCGGGCGCGCGCGCCGCGTGCTGCGCGCCTCCACCGGCATGCGCGCCCACAGCGCCTCGAACAGCGACGACAGCCGCACTGTCATCGAGTAGATCTGCAATATTGTATTACAATATTATCTATACTAATATTATAAAGATGTAAAGTTTGTGAGATTGTGAGTTTGTGACGTTGTAGGGGGTAATATCTGGATCTACTGAACCGATTTAGATGAAATTTGGTAAGAAGATAGTTTAAGACTTTGAGAAGGACATAGGATACTTTTTATCCCGGAAATCATTCCTTAACGGGGTGAAAATGGGGATGAAAGCTTGTATTGGGAAGCAAGCTAGCCATAAATCGATCCAGTAGTTTTTGAGTTTATTCGTTACAAACATACAAAAATACAAACCTTTCTAAGAGGATATAATTATTATAAAAATATAATATTAATGTAGATAATAGTTACTGAGTAATATTAGCGATTTTTGACCTTTTTAAGAAAGTAAACAGCTTTCAAAAATACTTAAAAGTTTTTCTTCAATAAGAACCCTTGAACTATATGTGCATATTTTATTTAAATATACATATATATATGTATATATATATATATATATATATATATAATATTTTTTCATATATTTATCCTACTAATATTATAAATGCGACAGTTGTGAGTATAGATGTATGGATATATGTTGACGATATATATGTTGTTATTTAAGAGACCAACTATTGAGTTTCTCTTGGGATCGCCCGATAGATTTAAAAGTTTTAACAAAATATATTTCAATTCGATCTCATTTGGTCGGAACTCGAACCCGAGACCACCAGATCCTAGGTAGTGTCACTCACCCGACTCCTCTTATTGGTGTTGTACAGCCGGCTGTTGGCGAAGACGAGCCTCACGTCGGCCGCCAGCTGCGACGCGTGCGAGTACTGCGCCTCCGCCAGCTTCTGCTGCACTGTTCCCAGGTCCATCGGATGGGTGACCACTGACAGGTAATCTGTTAAATAAATAAATATAAATATGTTGGTACATTAACACACAGCATAATCTAGTTATATGTAATTTAGTAAAGAATTCAATATTTTAAACTTTTCAGGTGACCAAGTAATTTAAGACCTAGGTTACTATATCAATGCAATCTTCTTAAACTAACGGGAAACAAAGTATTCAAGCTCAATTCAACCAATCTTTTGCTTTATAGCAAAAAAAATAATAACCAAACAACATAACCAAAAATATCCGACCCACCCAACGCTTATGTAGAAACAATCATAAATTCCATTTTTGCTTTAAAGAAAAAAAAAACAAATAGATAAGTCACCCAACACGCAACTGCGTAAGCGAAACATATACTTAGTATAAAATAAAGTCGCTCCTGCTGTCTGTACGCTTAGATTTTTTAAGCTACTCAACGGATTTTAATGCAATTTTCAGCAATAGATAGTGATTCAAGAGCAAAATTTATATTTTTTTTTGCATAATACATTCATATTATAGTACAGAAAAGTCGAAAAATTCAAAGATTTGTATTTCATACTAAAAGTTAAAACGTACCTAGTACTGTTCGTACCTCGCTAGTTAGTTATAATTTTTGATTCCACATTCATAATTGTCTTTTAAAAAAAACCAACCCGCCAGACACTTATGCAAACAAAATTATGAAGCCCATTTTTATTTTAAAGAAAAAAAAACAAACAAGCACCAAACACGCCCCTGTTTAAGCGAAATTATAATCATAATTGAATTTAAGGAACAAAAATCAAACCAACCAATATTAGTGCTATAAAAAAACAAAATAAAAATCGTATGTGTGTACTTATGCGCACGTAAGAAGTTATACTTTGGCATAACAGAACAAAAATAGCTAAATATTCCACCCCGTACGAGACAACTCTGTTTGAAAAATGAACGCAGCTAACTTCATCATGTCGCCTTTTGGCTGTCACGCACACACGTAAAAATTACACTCTCATAACTTCTTCCAAGCGTACCAAAAGGAGTATAACTTTAACCTTAAAGAGAGTAATTTTTACTTGATCAGTACACGTAGCAAATCTCCGGGCCAACATGTTTCCACGCATCGCCAATGCTCTACGTTCCCTCTCTATATCGTCCTCATCTGTTAACATTTCATTTAGAATATGTCCAAGGTATTTAAATTTTGCAACACGGTCAAGCTTGACATTATTTAGAGTAACGTCAGGTATATAGTCAGGTCCATTTTTATATTTGAATACCATAGTAACAGATTTTTTACTATTATAAACTAACCCATGACTTTTAGCATATTTTTCACAAATGGCAAGGAGCCTTTGTAAGCCTCTGATTGATGGACTGAGCAGCACCATATCATCAGCATAGCTAAGGCTATTTACACAACATCCGCCTATGTGACATCCTATACGCGAGCTACTCAGTTCACCAATCAGATCATCGACATACAGGTTGAATAGACTAGGCGAAGTAAGACCTCCTTGTCTCACTCCACACTCTAATTTGTATACATCTGAACTAGCATCTGACCATCTTACAACATTACTCTGATTCTTATACCAATATTTAAATAAATTTATAGTCTCAATGGACATTCCACTTTTCTGTAGCTTGTTCCACAGTATATTATAATTAACGAGATCGAATGCCTTTGACAAATCTAGAAAACAAGCGTATATACTCGTTTTGCGAGCTTTGTAATAAGAAACTATATGTTTCAAACTTGCTATCGCCATTTCAGTAGAAAGCTTAGGTCTAAATCCAAATTGAGCTCTATTAATGTTTAAAGACTTTTCCAGCCTGACATTAAGCAACCTGTCCAGGACTTTGGCCAACACAGTAGCCAGAGATATTGGCCGATAATTATTTAAAGATGAAATATCACCCGTTTTATTTTTAATAATGGGCACAACTACTGTTTTGGTCATGTCCGGAGGTACATATCCATGACTAACACATAAATTAAACAAAATAAATAACACTCTCGGTAGATGTTTACCGCCATTGATTAGATGTTCTATACTAAGGTCATCGTGGCCAGGTGACTTGCCCCTTTTCATATTTTTAATAGCACTTTGAATCTCTTCAACAGAAAAGCGATCAGTCACCTGTCCACCACAACGCGTTGTTTCATCATGAGGAAACTGAGTGGAAGAATCTATAGGTAGGGGAGAGCTAACACGGAAATGTTCCTTAAATAGATTAGCAATGTCTGTAGAGTTACATATACCATTTACACTAATCGGTCGACTTGACTTATAGTTTAAACTGTTTGTTTGCTGCCAAAATTTACCAAAACTATTTTCCGATCTATTACTTGCAATTATATCTAGTTTAATTTTATCTTCATTCTGTTGACACCATTTAAGCTTACTTTTGAAATTATTACGTGATTCTACCATATCCCTATGTACCATTCCTGTCAGTGGCTTACCGCACCATAACCATATTCTGTATTTTTCACGTGCTATATTGTGACTTTCCCTTACATATCGATTCCACCCTGTTATATAGCCACCCTTTCTTTTACTTTCTTTACTTGTTTACTTTTCCTAGCTGCATTCTGAAGAGAATTCACAATACTGTAGTAAAGCTCACATATAACAAGGTGATGATTAGTATCATTACAAAAACTGTCAAAGCAACTTAAACAATTATCTGGTATTTGTATATCACAAAGAGAGTTATCACATAAATACATATTGATACCGTGCTATACGCTGACTGAGTGGTCAATACATGATCGAGCCATCGCCTACATCCATGACCATGACAATCACTAATGAATGTATACGCATCTGAGCCTACACCAAATTTTTCTAAGTCCGCACAAAGCCAGTTATATTCTTTACAAAATTGAATTAATTCATTACCAAACAGTTCACCTGGATGGGCATTAAAGTCACCTAATATAAAAACACTTTCGGTATCATTTACTTCTACTATCGAATTTATATATGCTAGTATACTAGTAAATTCAGTCAAATTATCGATACAGTTAGTAGGCATATACACAGAAAAAATCAAAACAAACTTATTGTCAAATTGAATACGAATTCCACATACTTGAGGGTAATCGCCACAGTTCAGCACAGTCACACTCGGAAACAAATCTTTCCGCCATAAGAGCGCAACGCCTCCGTATGGCCGCCCCCGTATTACGCCTGCCGAAGTATCCACTGCACTTGTACCCGTGAAACAAAACTTATTATCTATAGTAGCTAAAAAGTTCAAGTCATGCGGAAGAAGCCATGTCTCTTGTAAAGCTATGACACTATAAGTCTTACAAAAGTCTCTCACACATTGGACGGAACGTTTCACAGATTTACAATTAAAAGATAATAATGTCACTTCACTATTTTTCTCCATTTTGACTGTTATTCTTATACTTCCTAAACTGAATAAATCTTCTGAACATAATACCTTCTGGCCATATATCACTATTCAAATATAAATCTAATTTATTTCTTGATACAAAGATTTTATATGAACAATATTGTTTATCCTCTTTCATTGTTAACTTTTGAATAGTTATTTTTTCTTGAGTTTTACTCTGCACGTATTCGCATATATCCCGTTCACTTGTATTTTTATCAACGTTCGAGATATACAAAGGAACTTTAATATCAGCTGATTTAAAAGTGCTCGCCGTTTCCACTTTTCCTATACCTAACTTCCCTTGAAATCTGTTAGTATTTTTCTTATATGTTACATTGATCCACGGGTTGGGATTTTCTTCAATTTTATTTGAATGTTCTGTGTGCTTTTTTAGCAATGAACGCGGCTCAGGTGATGTAATAGCTGTCATGGAAGCGTATGTTGCATTTTTCTTAGGCTCATGCTGATGCGAAGCTTGTAATGACACATTCTCAATTCTATTACTCGTACTTACACTCAAGGTATCCACCGGGCCGGGGTCAACAACCCGCGCATGACGCTCACGATTCGAATTTGAAACCGGCAACGGTTGAAGCGCTTTGTTCTTACTCGATTCGCAAACCTTTTGAGTAACGATTTCAGATCTCAACTGTTCAACGCATGTTTTAAATACTTCTTCATCACATTTATTTCTCATTTGCACCTTTATATTTTGTAATTCTTCTTGTAAAACTCGAATATCAACTAAAAATCTAGATACATCGATATGATCAAACGTCACGGGGGGTAATTTAGAGAGATCATATGCCACAAATTTTGGAAATAATTCCGATTCACACTCTTTTAACACCTTAATCATATCCTGAAGGTCTTTTTCGATCTTGTTTTCTCTTTTTCTCATTATTTTCCGTCCCTTCTCTGTTGGAACAAAATCAAACAAGATTGTTTTGGCTTTTTCTACATCTTCCGTCTTGAACGATGTAGCACACAAACGAATTATGGATACTTCATCCAACACATCACATTTGTTTTGTAAGAAACATAATAGCTCGTTAATAACAATATTTGTACTCAACGACGTCATCCCGAGGTAATAATGTCACACGGAAACGAAACAAATATGACACCCGCACGTCAAGACGGCGTGCGCTCAACTAAATGAAGAAAGAAAAAATAAAAACAAAACCATCGTATCACCCACCGGGCGCCTGCGTGGGCGACACGGGCTGGCGGAAGGGCTCGGCGTCGGGGGAGGCGCACAGCTCGCGCAGCAGCGCCGCGCACGCGCCCTGCCACGAGCGCCCCGCGGCCGCCGCGCGCCCCGCGCCCCCCTCGCCCGCCGCTCCCCTGCGGCCGGCGCGCGCTCGGTTCGATCGACGCTTCTGGAATTTGGAATGTTACACATGTTACACATTAATATAGGCAATGGTAGCCCAGTGGTAAGGCGCTCGCTTGGGAAACCGAGTGAAGCGGGTTCAAATCCTGGGTCTCGCACCTCTGATATTTTCATGTGCGAATCATTTTCAACATGATTACCACTTACATGCCTTACGGTGAAGGAAAACATCGTGAGGAATCCTGCATGTCTTAGAATACTTAGCAAGTTGTCTACAAACATGCTCAGTCCGCCCGCACTCGGCCAGCGTGGTGGACTATGGCCTGATTATTATAATAAAAAAATTCAAATAAAAAAGAAAATCCAGAGAATAAATAAATTATTTTTGAAATCAGCCACAAAGTTTTTAGTAAACGATTGTGGACTCTTTTTACTTCCGATTACTAACTAATAATGTGGAACTCAAAAATCTGAATTTTAGCCTGTACAGTGTCTGTCGGTTAGTCAGTGAATTGTCACCTTGTCAACGGGGACCTCATCGTCCGAAGATTGATAAGACGCGGCGAGCTCGTGGTACTTCGCCACGACGTCCACATCCTCCCAGTTACTGGAAAATAATAGTATAGAGTAATATAAAATGAATTTATATCTTTACACTAGCGACTCACCCTTGCTCCGCTCAGGTTCGTCCCTAGTGAAGGATTAGGTTTGTATGTATTTTTTAATGCCGAATCATAAAAAAATTAAAATATTTTTTTTGTCCAAAAACTAAAAAAATTTTTTTTGGGATGGACCACCTTTATCACTTAGATGTATGAAAAATAGTTTACGTCCTATTCTTAGACCTACTGAATATACACACAAAATTTCATGAGAATCGGTCAACGCGAGAATTTTATATACGTATTAGATATAAAAAAATCGGTTTGTGTATACGTAAGTCTTTAAATTTTATTCACAAATAAATTTTGTATTTATTAATAAGGGTCCAGGAGATAGGGATAGGGAGATATCGCATTCTAGCGATATTAGTATAAATATAACAAATCATTATCTAATGATACAGATTCACAAATAACGAGATCAGTCAATACCTGACGATACAGGTGTACAAGTAGAGTGAGCAGGACGTGGATGGAGTAAGATGCAGTACCTGATGATGCAGAGCAGCAGGTCGGTGACGAGGCGCGCCTGGCGCACGATGGGCGAGTGCGGCTCGTTAAAGCGCTCCGCGTTGCTCGCCAGCCAGCGCGCGTCGAACTGCGCCGCCGCCGCGCGCCGGTAGAACTGCGGCGGTGGGGACACGTGTTCACATATATATATATATATATACATACATATATATATATATATATATATATATATATATATATATATATATAATAGTCTAAGATACCGACTGAGATCGTATTTCACTCATCTGCTTTAAGCCGGTGCCAGTCAATACGAAACAAAGCACACCAACTTTGAAAATATCTGATAGGATAGGTATTCTAAATGAAAAACCGTGCTTAGTTATTTTTTACTTTTCAGCGCCTTGGAAGTCGGTTTTTTTTATATTTGTATGTTGATTTTATTTTATTTAAAATTATTAATAATTCTTTACAAAAGCATTAGCAACGTGAACGAGCCCTACGATTTCAAAACAATTGCAAGCGTTAGTAGGCGGAGCTAGACAGTTTTCTGTCCTTATCAGTTTGTATGCTAATGTGGGATAGAGAAAGCGCTTTGCATGTTTCAAGTCAGTAGTATACATACTTGTATTGGTTTATGCAATTATTGTATACAAGTGTAATAACAATTATATAAATATCTTTTCGGTTCTTTTTCCGTTACGGGAAGTGTTTCCCGTGACAAGAATCAAAATAAAAACCGAAAAATCCGAAAAGATAGCTTTATTTTAAATCTATTCATATAATAAAATTGTAACTAAGTCGAATCTGTACATTAAATATTTTTGGGAAAATCTAATTGAAATAGACATTACTATCGATACAGAGTCCGAATCTATAGTTTTTAGAATTTTTGTCTGTCTGTCTGTTACCGCATCACGAGAAAACCACTGGACAGATTTAGATGAAATTTGGAATGATGATAGCTGGTTATCCGGGTCAACATATAGGATACTTTTTACCGCGGGAAAATATCTCATTACTGAGAAAAAATACAAAAACAGCATTGTAAGAGTATAGTAATATGTAAAACCTAAAAATTTGGTTTTTGGTCATCTGACCGCGGGCGGAGCCGCGGACAATGCTAGTATCTAATATTCGCGTAAATCTAATAGAGTTTCATTAAAAAGAGTTAAAAAGTCCCACGACAACAAACAACGACGACACGTTTAGTTCAGATTGCAGCGACCCTACTTGCTGTGCCAGTGGTCGCGGGTTCGAGTCTCGCTGGGGGCATTCATTTGTGTGATGAGCACGAATGTTTGTACTCTAGTAGTCATGGGTGTTTATATTTATAATATGTATGTATTTAAAGTTATATATGTGTAGTGTACCAACTATCTGGTATCCATGACACAAGCCTCGTAGCTTACCATGGAACTAGATGGTGCTGTGTGTTAATGTTCCCACATATATAAAAAAAAATTACCCTCTGAGATTAAAAAACAGATTAATAAACACTTGTCCAATACTAACCAAGTTCTCGAACCGAGCGCGTATGGTCGCCAAGTCTATAGGATAGGGCACGACCAGGGCGTAGGACGGGTACAGCTGAAGGTCCACTGGAGCCACGAAAGGTTCCGCTACTGACAAGGACATCACCTGGAAAATCCATAGTAATATTATAAATGCGATAGTAACTGTCTGTATGTCACCTATTACCGCTTAATCCGCTGAACCAATTTAGATGTTATGGAGATAGTTTGAGACAGTGAGAATGACATAGGATAGGTTTTATCCCGGAAATCATCCTGTAATGGGTTGAAAATTGGGGTGAAAGTTTGTATGGGGAATCATTTCTCAAGTAAGGAATATAAAACTCATCATATCTATATATGTATATATTCATATATAGTCTATCTATTCCATACTAACCGTTAAAACGTACATAAGGACGAACCCGAACGAAGCGAGAGTGAGTCACTAGTATAATATACTAATATTATAAAGAGGTAAAGTGTGTGAGTTCGTGACGTTGTAGGGGGTAATCTTTGGATCTACTGAATCGATTTAGATGAAACTTGGTATGAAGATAGTTTGAGACCCCGGCAAGAACATAGGATACTTTTTATCCCGGAAATTATCCCTTAAGGGGGTGAAAACGGGGATGGAAATCTGTATGGAAGCAACCTAAGGACCAATTCGAGCGAAGCAAGGGTGAGTTAACAAACAAACAGACCTGCGATATGTGGTGTGCGATGGCGCGGCACGCGCGCGGCGGCCACTCGTGCGAGCGCGCCAGCACCGCCTCCAGCTCGCGCGGCTGCACCGCCACCGCGCCGCCCGGCTCCGATGGCAGTCTGCGACAGGACAAACATACACATAAACACATTCGTTTTTAATATACATCCATGTTCATTTAACTACTTGCTGTGCCACCGGTCGCGGGTTCGAGTCACGCTGGCGGCATTCATTCGTGATGAGCACGAATGTTTGTACTCAATACATATAGTAAGTCCCAAAAGTACAACAATAAAATCAACCATACCTTTCAGGATCAATAGGCTCTAGATCCCACGGAGACAATCGTTCCACTTCACCGTTATCCCACCTCACTCGTAATGAGAGGAAATGCGCTGGAAATATGGGAAAAATAGATACTATATAAATATTTGACGACACGTTTGGTTCAGTTTGTTTGCTACTTGTCTACTTGCCATGCTAGCGGTCGCCGGTCCAAATGCCGCTGGGGGCATTCATTTGTGTGATGAGCAATAATATTTGTACTGCAGTCATGGGTGTTTATATTTATAATATGTATATATTTAAAGTTATATGTGTAGTGTATCAACTATCTGGTATCCTTATCACAAGCCTCGTAGCTTACCATGGTACTAGATGGTGTTGTGTGTTAATGTACCAACATATTTATTATTACTTATCATATATAGATAAATACTTTATTGAACACAAAAGAAGAGTACAGAAGATGAAAAGAAAAATAACAAAGAGGCATGCAAAGGCGGTCATGTTGCTATGAGCAATCTCTTACAGACAACCTTTGGTGAAAGGATTAGTGGAACCATAGATTTAATATTAAATAATGTTTATATTAGTATTATACAACAAATCTATTTTAAATAAAACTATCTTTTCGGTTTTTGTCCCGAACAGAGTCTTCGAGTCAGAGAGAGAAAATCAAAATAAATCCGCAAAAGAATCCGAAAAGAGTTTTATTTAAAAAGAATTGTTCGTATATTAGATATTAGATTTTATGGCAAACGATCAGCGCCATCTTTTAAAATGGATTTGAAACAGTAACCTATGTCACATCATGTCAGTCTATCTGTATACTACACACACACAAATACAAAAGTAGCTAGCTATCTATATTTAATATTATAAAGAGGTAAAGTTTGCGAGTTTGTGAATTGTGAGTTTGTAGTGTTGTAGGCAGGTAATCTCTGGATGTACTGAGCCGATATATGTAGATGAAATTTGGTAAGAAGATAGTATGAGACCCTGGGAAGGACATAGGATACTTTTTATTCCGGAAATCATCATCCCTTAAGGGGATGAAAATGGAGATGAAAGTTTGTATGGGGAATCAACCCAGGGAGGAACACGAGCGAAGCGAGGGTGAGTCACTAGTATATAAAGAACACACAGGCAGCATCATTCGCGTCCGCGCCCGCGTCCTGCGAGGAGTGCGCGGGCTGCGAGCGCTCCAGCACCTGCCCCGTCCACCACGAGTCGTCGATCATGCAGCGGAATCTGCCGGGTAAGATATACATATTTAATACATATATATTTAAATTGAATATTGAAACGTCGCGGCATATAAAATTAAGATAAAATACTGCAAATGTCGTAGAAGACGCTGCTGAGCTAGTTATCGCACCTCGGTTCATCTGCACGACGTTGGTAAACAACAGCGTTCCCAAAGAGGGTTGATACTTGATGTCAGACAGGCGGCCGACCGTAAAACTTTCGCCAAAACCGATCAGCAGTATGATAGACGTACTGCACCGACCACAAAATAATGTATTCGATTATTTTTCCTTTGGCTATCACTGTTGTCTAAATGTATTATGTAACTATAAATATGTATTGTGAAAATAATACAAGTTTTATTACCACTTAAATATATCAACAACTTCAAAAACACAAAGAACCAAAAAAATTGACACCTGTCACTTTGACAGATTAAAATATTTTTTTTCAAAAGTCCCAAAGGAAGTACATAACTTTTGACATGTGTCATTTTGACAGATAAAAAAAAACAGCACACGACCTGTCCCCGGCGCCCCAGCGCCTGGCGACGGCCGCCTCGTAGTGGTGCGCGAGCACCAGGAAGTCGATGACGTCGGGCATGTCGTGGTAGCGCACGGCGAAGGCGCGGCCGTCGCGCGCGCGCGCCAGCTTCAGGCTCACCACGCGGGGAGGCTTTATCACGTACTTTATGCCCACCACCTGCACCGCCTCGCAGTCCTGGGGGGTGTGTCGAATTGTATAATATCACTACGTAGTATAAAACAAAGTCGCTTCTCGGTGTCTGTCTGTTGCTATGTACGCATACATCTTTAAAACTACGCAACGGATTTTTTTTTGATACGCTTTTTTTAGTAGATAGATTCGAGAGGTAGGTTTATATGTATATTACAAGCATTATAGTTCAGGAAAGCCGAGAAATTCAAAGATTTGTAGTTCATACTATCCGTTAAAACGTACCATTATATTTCAACAAAATATAAATGAAAAATAAATAAATCTATATATAAATATTATAAATGTGAAAGTTTGTGAGTATGTATGGATGTTTGTAACTCTTTCACGCCAAAACGGCTGAACTAATCTGGATGGAATTTGGCAAAGAGATAGATTATAATCTGAAATAACACATAGGCTACTTTTTATCCCGGAAAAATATCCCGAGGGATAGATTTATTTTTGTTTTGTTGTCAGCCGATAAATAAATATGTTGATACATTAACACACAGCACCATCTAGGTCATGGTAAGCTACGACGACTGTATTATGGATACCAGACAGTTGATATACTACATATATATAACTTTAAATATACACATTTTATAAATATGAACACCCATGACTGGAATACATTCGTTCTCATTACACAAATGAATGCCTCCAGCGGGAATCGAATCCGCGACCGCTGGCACAGCCAGTAGGGTCACTACAAACTGAGCCAAACGTCTCGTCAATATATATTTCGGCAATACTCACGCATATTTGCATACGCTCCCAGGGCTTGTCCCGTGGGTGTATCTTGTAGAGGTCCTTCTCCGCCACCGCTTCGAAGTAACGTTGGTGTCCCTGGAAAATAAAATATTTGATATCAGAACTATAGTTTGTGCCCGCGTCTGCGCTCGCGCCATGTTTGATTTTTAGACTGAAGTCGTTGTTTTTGGAAAAACACGGAACACGTGTTTATTTGTAGACAGGACTCATTGTGAGAATTTTCTAATTGATACACCTCTCTACATATATCTATACAATTTCTTTCTGAGGACACTTTTGAGACGCTAATAGGGAATACGCGTGATTTTCTATTAATTTTTTATACAATAGCGTATACAGTTATATAATTGTAAAAAATATATACAGCTCCAAGAAACTAAAACTTTGTATAAAAAAATGTTTAAAAATATCATACAGATACGGATACAGTAATACCCCGACTTACGCTATCCCGTTTAACGCAAATTCGGAGATACGCGTTTGGCTCAGTTTGTAGTGGCCCTACTCTCTGTGTCGGCGGTCGCGGGTTCGAGTCCCGCTGGGGGCATTCATTTTGTGTGATGACGAAGGTTTGTACTCCAGTCATGGGTGTTTATATTTATAATATGTATGTATTTAAAGTTATATATGTGTAGTGTATCAACTATCTGGTATCCATAACACAAGCCTCGTAGCTTACAATGGAACTAGATGGTGCTGTGTGTTAATGTCCCAACATATTTATTTATTTCTTTTTGATTGCCGCGTGCATCAGCTCTCCCACTCCACCCTGTTAGTGTTCCGTATACGCAGGTTCGAAAGTGTTCCGCGTGGAATTGTTTTACGTACGCTGTGCGTTTTATTGATATACTCTTATTATGTCATCCAAAAGAACAAAAAATGAGTCATTTGAACCTAACAAGAAAAGAAAAACACTTTCTTCGGAGCATTAGCTGAACTTTATCAAAGACTTTAAAAAAGCACAAATAAAAATTCGTGAATTGGCAAATAAATTTGACCTGCCGGAATCAAGCATCAAAACAGACTGAACGTCAACGGACATTAAAACTTAACTCCGACTTAACGACATCAAAATATCTTCGGTTTACGTTGTTTTATTCATAACAATGAAAATTCTTCTATTGTCTAACATTTTAATTGAACATGTTTCTTCTAAATTACTGTTTTCTTTAGACTCTGGTCTCGATTAAACATACTTTATATGTATTTATATGCAAAGTTGAACCCCGACTTACGCGAATTCGACTTACACGGTCATCGCTCGGTCCCACCTATCGCGAAGTCCGGGGTATTACTATACTTCAAACGCCCGCCGTTTCTCGCGCTTGGCGTGATATTACAGTGCTGCCTATTTATCGCTAAAATGATGACATTTTCTTAAGCAAGTAGCGATAAATTGGCAACACTGGCTCTGTTATATCATACTCTGACGTCACATTCGGTCTGACCAATAGCGTTGCGTTTCAACTACTTTGAATATCCCACCTATATTTACATTTTGCAATAATTATTTTCTAAATCAAAAACAAATTACATTAAACAATATTGATATAGGCTTAATTCAAAAGCAATAAAGAAAAAATTAAAAATTATTTTAATTTAAATCACACTCATACTCCATATTGTACGTGTATCTTGAGTTTTTGTATATCAATGATACAGACACATCTATCCAATATCTTATTGAAATAGACATTATTATCGATACAGAGGCCGAATCTACAGTTTTTAGAATTTTTTGTCTGTCTGTCTGTACATCTGGGAACGCATCATGGCAAAACCATTATTATCGATAGATAATAATGACTGTTTCAATAGATTTTCAAAAAAATATTTAATGTACAGATTCGGCTTAATTAGAATTTTATTATGAGCATAGATGAAAAATCGCGGTTTTAGTATGAGATTGCAAAAAGCACCTAGCTATCACTACATATTATGAAGAATATATCGTTTGCTTACCAATACAAATTTTCATCCCCATTTTCACCCCCTTAAGGAATAATTTCCGGGATTAAAACTATCCTATGTCCTTCCCAGAGTTTCACACTATCGTCTAACCAAATTTCATCTAAATCGGTTCAGTGGATCCAGAGATTACCCCCTACAACATCACAAACTCACAAACTTTACCTCTTTGTAATATTAGTATAGATACATACCAGTCTAAAATACAAGCAGTGGTCCCCCATCTGCGGGTGATAGGGCGCTTTGCGAGGCGACACCGCCGTCAGCCACTCGCCCACGCGGTACGCCTCGGGCAACTCGACCGTGCCAGTGCCCGCGCTAGTACTGGCGCCGGCGCTCGCGCTAGTACTGGCGCCGGCGCGCTTGCTCGTCGTTGCGCTGGGGCTGTAGCTGGAATCAAAAACAATAGTTTTAAAAATAAAATGGATACGTATGTATGTAATGTTTTTTACCGATTGAAGTTAAACTTCTTTGGCAAATATCGCAATTAAATTAAAACATACGAATAATTAAATGAGGCATATTACGATCATATATCTATAGAATATCATATACGGTAAGAATATAATATAATATATTTGTCAGACAATAATAACAGTCACCATGGCAACGTGGCAATGCATTCCATCTCATTCTATAGAAAAAGAATTAGGGTTCCGCACAAAAAAAATATAATGTACCTACGATCGAATCCGAACGAATCGAGGGTGAGTCGCTAGTTTTAATTAAAATTTTAAGTAAAGACTGCCTTTTTGAGTACTTCGGCTGTCATACGTAATTCGTTACTATAGCCATTTTTACCTCAATTAAAAATAAACAAACAAACATACCGTGCAGTGGGCACCGGCCGGCGCCGCGCGCGCGCCGGCGGCGCCAGCGCCGCGCCCGCCTCCCAGTCCGAGTACTGCGACGACGCTGAGCTGTGGACATGGATTTTTATAAATATTATACAATCTGATACTTTCTTAGATTTACGCGAATATTTGACATTTTAAATAAAACCATCTTCTCGGATTATTTCGCAGATTTATTTTGATTTTTGGTTCCCGACGTTTTGAATGCTTTACAGCCATTCATTTTGTTATTTGTGGGTAGGCTGAATGTAACAACTATACCTTCGAGACATCTAACACCTCAGTCTCTCCAGTGACCATGATTGCTGTAAAACATTCAAAACGTCTGGAACCAAAAATCAAAATAAATCCACGAAATAATCCGAAAAGATAGTTTTAATTAAAATTATAAAATCTTATAACAAAAACAAATATTTGCAGTTACTTCATACTGTATGGATCGCAATAACAGTAATTCTAATTAATACCTATATATTTTTTATCTGTAAAGATAGCGATAGTGTTGCTTAATATTTCATCTTTATATAATAGAAATCTCAGCAACACAGAACAGATCTGCTCATAGTCCTAGGGATGATTGCAAATACACTCCAAGAAAAAAATATAATAGAAATCTAAATTAATAATTTAATTTTTTAAACTACATATAAAACAGTAATAATTTTTAAATTATGTACATATAAAACAATAATATTACTTAAATAAATAATTAATATTTTTATTTCACTAGTAATACATAGTTTAACACAAAACTCACCTGTCACTTTTGCTGGCCGAATGTGAACTGAAAACAGAAAAAAAAACACAAACAATAATAACATCCTTTCTTAGCTTTATCTATACTGATATTATAAAGAGGAAAGATTTTTTTGTTTGTTTGTTTGTACCGAATAAGCTCCGAAACTACTGAATCGATTTAGATGAAATTTGGTAAGAATATAGCTTGAGCAGCATGGGCATGGGCAGCCACCCTGGGCAGGACATAGGATAGTTTTTAAAATGTTCCGGCTAATCTCCGAAATGACTGGACTGATTTTGACGAGACTTTCACTGGCAGATAGCTGATATTATAAGGAGTAACATATGCTACTTTTATTTTAGAAAAAGAATTAGGGTTCCGCTCAATAAAATCAAAACGTAGCTAGGGACTCGTAAGTATGAAATAAATCTAGCTGACTCTGTCTGTTCAGGTGGTCTGTCTATCTGACCGTTTATAAGTTAATTTCACTCACAATATGATAAACATACAAAACAACCTACCTACATACATCACACCTATCAGAATCGGACATATCAGCACTAGAGTGCCTTCCTCTGGACGTCTTCGAGGACCTGGAGGAGTGAGAGGATCGTGAGGAGCGCGAGGAGCGGGAGGATCGCGACGCGGACAGACGGACAGATTCATCCGACGTGTCGCTGTCGCTTTCTTCTATAATATCTGCCACTTCATCTTCTAGACGCATCTGGAAGGAATAAGTTTGTGTTAGCAGTAGAAAAATTTTTTTTATTTGAGAAGTCTAACACCCTTCTTATTTTTATGTCTTGTTGTTATTTTTATTTTATTTGAGATGGATTCGTGTGTACAATTTCAGAATAAAAAAAAATATTGCGACCAAAAAGGAAAAGCTGAACAAAACTATGGGATCAGGTGGACTTTAAAGAGTCCACCGAAATGAGATTAGTCTGTTAGCAGTTAGGCTATATGAAATGTATAGGCTAAAAATAGAGAATGTAATAATTTTTGTTTTTTTTTTTATTGAAGTGAAACTTCTTTAGAATCGTTGTGATTTGAAACTCGATGAAACGGAAATGCGACACTAAAAAGAAAATATAAAAACATAAATATATAGGACTAAAACGGCAAGAGAATGAGATAGAATACATTGTCATGCTGCTATAGTGACCGTTGATTTGAGATAGAATACATTACACAGGAAGTGAAAAATAATAAAATTAAGTACTGAGTGAGTCGTAGGTAAAGAGGACAAGTCGTAGGTAAATAAAATAAAAGTAGCAACAGACGGGCGCGGGCGCCTGGCGCGGCGGCGCGGGGCGCGCGCGCGGGCGGCGGCCGGCGCGGCGGCGCGGCGCGTCGCCCGGCGCCGTGCTGATCATGACGGGGCGGCGCCGCATCTCGCGCCGGTACCAGCTCAGCTCGAACGCGTTCATCTCCGTGCTGTGGACGGTCGCATCTTGTGTTATTTGTTCAACCACCGACATAGCTTCTAATGTTTTTATACATATGTACTTATATAGATAAAATATATTTTTCCAGCATTTATAAAATTTCATTTTTACCCCCTAAAAGGATGATTTCCGGGATAAAAACTATCCTAAATCCTAAAATATATATGTCTTACCAAATTTGTGCATCTTCTTACCAAATTTCATCTAAATCGGTTCAGTAGTTTAGGGAGGCTTTTCGGTACAAACAAACAAACAAAAATATCTTTCCTCTTTATAATATTAGTGTAGAAAATATGTATTTTATAACAACAGAAGTACAACGAGCAAAACTGCCTGAGTATGGAAAAAGCCGTGCAAGAAATAGAAGAAAACACCAATGACTGGAGTACAAACTAGCGTGCTCATCACACAAACGAATGCCCCCAGCGGGACTCGAACCCAAACCGCTGTCACAGCAACTAGAGTAACTACAAACTGAGCCAAACGTGTCGTCACGTGTCGTTAATGAATTAAGACACTCCCTTTATCTCTATCCAGTATATGAAACTCAACTTACCTAGCCTTCTCAATCTCCTCCCTCATAGAATGAGGTAAAGGAGGCACTATAGGCCTTGTACTTAATGGTACATCTAGCCCTTGCCAGGAACCCGCAGTATGTCGTACCCCCTCCCCTCTCCACACACCATGGCCCGCGGGCGCATCCCCCTGGACTGCAGGAGTCAGGGGATCAGCAGCCAGGGCTTCTATCATGGCATCTAGACGGGTCCTGGGTACAAGCTGTTCTATTGGTAAAGCTTCACGGCCTGGAACTAGACGTTGGAACTCCGGGGGATGGGGTGCACCCTGGAAAGAGACAATATTTGTTAAATAGTTAAAATCAACACTGGTTTATGAATACACTAGCGACTAACCATCGCTTCGCTTCGGGTTCGTCCGTAGACAAAAACTGTGTTTTCTTTATTTTACTCCATATTTGATTATAGGTTATTAATTATGAATTCTAATATTAACATAGATGTTTCACATCTTGTTGGCAGTCCCGCGACGGCAAACTTTTTTGTTAGCTTCTCGATTTATATCTTTCATAGGCTCTCTGATCTACAGACCTACAGACACATAAGCAGTTCCATGCCTCTAACTTGATATATCACTCATTTATATTATAATAGACAAACAAAATAAATTATCCCACGGGAAAAGTACATTTTTCCGGAACAAAAAGTATATAAAATATTGACCGGCAATATAAGGTACCACCATGCAAAATTTCATTTAAATTAGTCTAACAGTCTTGAAAATTATCCAGTGCTAACAAACAAACAAACAGACAGTGAAACAAAAAAGTAGAAAAAAAAACAGGATTTGTTCTATTTCACTTCTTACATCCGCCGACTCGGTTTTTAGCATTTTTTTTCAATGTACAGACATTCGACCTCTACAGTTTTATTATATGTATAGATAAAGATTACTTCATAATAAATACAATTTTTTACCTCAACATCCACAAGAAACGGTGGCGGCATGAGATGAGGTGGCAGATCGGTTTGTTCATCCAGGGCTCCCCCGAGTGCATCTCTTGCTAACGGCCTATAGTCCGTATGGAAGAATAACTCCGATGGTAGCTTAGCTAGACGCGCGTGTCCAGCACCCAAACCCAAAAGCAACAGGTGTCCGTGGGAATCACTTGCAGCCACACGAGCCCCGCACGCTCCCCATTTCGCATCAAATAGAGCACCCTCACCCTGCCCTGCGATGACATTATGAAAACGAACCAATGGTTCTTCTTGCTCTGCACTCCACACAAATAACTGTCCGTCATGTCCTGCTGATAGCACTACGCCTGGTAGTGTCGGGTGTGCCTCAAGGACATACGCTTCATCTCTATGCCCAGCCAGAACCCGAACCTGCACCGCCCGCCGTGCACACCACACACGTACTGAGCTATCCGACACCGCCGTCACTACATACGCGTCACTACGATCCCAACACACCATTGTCACCTTCAACTTCCTTCCTCCTGCGTCTTCTGGTGTACCAGATTCTCCATTCGCACCCGTCACTTTTAACACCACATGTCGCCATTGGGTCGCATGTAAGGTCCATAAAGCTGCTGTGCCATCTTTGCTGCCAGATACGAAACGCAGACCTCTGTGAGCCCATGCTAATGAGTCCACTGCGTCTGAATGGGCCGCGGTCTCTAGTACCCGGCGTGGTCCACCTGATTCTAACGCATAGACCCGTACACGCTGATCTGCCGACCCTGCTGCCAAGAAAGCTCCTCCTGCAGACCAGGCTGCACATATCATATGACACGCACCAGGCCGGAGCCGTTCCACATATTGCACTGGTTGAGATAAGAACTGGCCTTCACGGGAACAAGTCCAAAATGCCACAGAACCATCTGTACTGGTTGAAGCTAACCAGCGTAGTTCCCCATGAGCACCTGGGGCCCATTGGACCGAAGTAATAGTTCCAGCGTGAGCGTGAAGAACCGCCTTGGGCGCTCCAGTAGCTAAACACCACACTCGTACGAGTCGCTCGACCGATCCGCACGCTAGTAACGCACCATCATAGGACGCGCACACGTCTGTTATCTCAGCGCCTGCACCACGTAATGTAGCTGCCAATCTACCATCAACCGCACACCACACTTTCACTAATAAGTCATCAGCACCGGTAAGCACATATCTTCCAGTCCGATCGAAAGCTAAGCAGTACACAGCAGACAGATGTCCAAGAGTTCGTCTCTGTAGCGTGAGCCCTTGGAGAAGTCTTGCTGGGAAGGGACGTGGTGCTCGAGCATGGTTGGCACTGACACCAGCTCCACCGGCTGCTGTAGTGCCTCCACCGGCGCCAAGTTCACGAGATACTAGCCTCCGAACTGTATATAAAGTGTAATTTTAATATTCTGTTACAAAATTGTGATCTACCCAAATTCCCTTGCAATAATAATACCCAATGAAAATGATTTGATTAATATGATATGAACAAAGGAAAAATAAATCAACAATTACACTATTATCTATATAAATAAATAAAATTGAAGTGTCTGTTTGTAATGTCAAAAAAAACAGCTTTTTAGTGCATATGAAAGTACTACTAAGAAAAACTATAGTACTTATAAGAAATATCCCATTTTTAAAATTTTGGTTTGTCTGTATGTTCCGGCCAATCTCCGAAATGGCTAGATCAATTTTAAAGGGTCTTTTATTAAAAAAATATTTTATTAAGATTTGTGGGGTACGCACAAAAGAAAATAAAAACCCATGAAAATTCCCGATGGTGGAATGGTCGCACCCACGCAAAGCGAGGATAACTCACTAGTGTTTATGATATTACTAAGAATTTAGGATTACAATATTAATTAGCACAATATCACAGATTTTAAAGAATAGAATCCCTCAATTTTTTATTATGATGCAAATATCTTCTTTACATAGTATAAAACAAAGTCGCTCCTGCTGTCTGTTGGCTTAGATCTTTTAAACTACACAACAGATTTTAATGCAGTTTTCAGCAATAGATAGTGATTCAAATATAAGGCTTACTATACATATAAATACAAGCATATTATATTCATACTAAGCGTTGAAACGTACCTAGGGACAAACCCGAGCTAGTATTTAATAAGTAATACTAACCAAGTGTATGGTCTTGTTTGAATGATGCATATTGTGGCTTTGGACGCACTAGAGATTCACTCAACAGTGACAACCTTGCGCTTATCAACTCTTTTTGATGCTGAGCAAATATATTAGGCAGATCTGCACCCCCTGTGAGAGGTACTCCAGGTTTTGTGCGGGCGATGCGTAAAGCCCTCTCGCATACTGACGCAAGACGATCCCATGATATCTCAGAATATTGAGATTCCTGTAAAACATTAATTAATCGTATTAATATTATTCAAATATTTAACAAATTATAATGAAAAAAGTAAAATTTAATTTTTTTTTTCAAAATATACTTTTATAAAATAGCACAGGCTATGTTTTTAAACTTACTATCTATGAAACATGTAATTTGCATAAAATTATTCACAAAAAAGTTAACTTAAGTATTCCAATTTATTTATTACTTAATATAATATATTTTTTGAAAAATCTTTTTGTAATAAACATAATTATCGATACAGAGGCTGAATCTACAGTTGTTAGAATTTTTGTCTGTCTGTCTGTTACCGCATCACGGAAAAACCACTGGAGGGATTTTGATGAAATTTGGTATGGTGATAGCTGGTTATCCGGGTAACATATAGGATACTTTTTACCGTAAGAAAATATCTTATTTCTGAGAAAAAATACAAAAACTGCAATGTAAGTATACTAATAATTAAAACCTAAGAATTTAGTTTTTGGTCATCTGAACGCGGGCGCAATCGCGGGCAATGCTAGTCTATTTTAAAACAAGAAATTATAATTTTATGCATCCACACATGCATCCATACAAAAAAAAAAAAAAAATAATATAGAGTACTTTGTATGGTAAAAACATGTTTAAACTTTCGCGGGATAACACATCCGCCATTACTGACATAGATCGTAATGTTTCGAGAAACGCAAGCCAATAGCGATAGCATAAATGCCAGTTCGACAGTTAGAGCGAGATAGATACAGTCACATATTGAGATTGCAACGTGTTAGAGCAGGACAACAGCGCCCTGATTTACATGATCATACAGATCGAATGCATGATATATCAAATTTTTCCCAAAATCCAAAAATACTCAAAAATAATCACTGAAACCCCACCAAAACATTTTTCACGTATTTCCACCATATTTACATGATCATTTCTACATAAATTGCAAAACAGAAAATTTTCGCATTTTTTCGCAATTTAAAGATTTCTAATCGCTTATGTGGTGAGAAAAGGTAAATAAACACAAGTTTTCGCGGTCAAAAGTTCGCAACTTACCAATTCATTGTATGTTTGAGAATGCTCGTTGCCCTCCCAATCGAGTCGTCGAGGCAGCACCTGCAACACAGAAAGCCACAAAAACCTTTTCAGTAAACTTTCAGCGAGTTTGACAGCCGCAACCACGTGCCACTGACCAAAACAACAATAAGCTCTAAGCCCGGCACTGAAAAAGCTTGAAACTCACCTCTACGCTCTCCAACTCTTTTAACAAAGTCTGTGAAACAAAAAGGTCATTTTAGTATTTTTGACTATATATAATTAATATAAAGTATTATTTTTAAATTATTTACCTTTGCAGTCTCTCTCAGGGGTCCCCCGGAGAGAAATTTCGCTATCAAAAAGTAGAGTTCTGAAACCGGGAAAGCTACCATTACACGACCTCGTACGTAAGACACTCGCATTATGTAGCTCGATTTTAAAGCAATACACTTACCTGGAACGACATTGACCACCTCGTCGGGATCCTCCATAATCCTATATTCGTTATATTAGGTCAAAACAGACCTCAAACATCACAAACACTGTTAAAATCCATCAAACATTTTACTTTGAACATTACATTGTTGACGAAAGATAATGCAACCTCCTGTAATAATAGCAAAATGGCGTTTGCTGTCACGGTCAAGCAGGCTTAAGTTGTCGATAAACAGTTCTCTAGTTAGTAAAATAACTATTACACAGATGGCGCTAGCGTTCAATATTTTGAAATATAAAAATAACGTTTAATCAATTATTTTTAATATTCAAATGAAGAAAGATAATTTAATTTTTCTTCTAATAATATTTATATTCTTGTTTAAACCCTAGTTTAGTTTATATTTAAGATTAAGCTGTTGCAAATCAGTTTACAACAGATTAAATTCGTGTGGCAACATTACATTTAATGTCAAGATTTTCGAGGTGAATGCACCGCTTTCCAGGAGAACGAGATATGGAACGATATTTTGATCAGTGATGGGTGTTTGTGTAAAAACTAACAGCCTGAAGGTGACATTGGTTTTAGGTCATCTATAAAGTGTGGTAGTTTAGATATGTAATACAAAATTCTGGGTGAGATCGTGTTGTTTAATCCATATGACTACTCAGGAGTACATGTATGAAGAGTACCCAATCTCAAGTGCTGATGCTACTTTTGGACTGGGAGCATGATACTAACGTGGGTCTTAGCCGCTAAGTTTTAAGGTAAGTTTTACCTATTCATTTCTTAGCATATATAAGTTTTCTATAATCTACTTTTATATTAGTTATTCCCGCGTTAGCTTCAATAACGCTGCTTAAATTTTAAAATGTTATTAAATTTACATATATTTGTTTCAAGAGATCTTTAAAGTTAGCAAAGTATAACATGAACACACTATGCTAAAATGGAAGTATTGATTTTGTGCTAAAAATATCCTTTCTATTATATGAAAAAATCAATGTATAGGTCTATCTGTATCAATTATTAAAAATTGCATATTATCTAATCTAGCTTATATAAATAATATAGGTATAAGTCCTTTTCAAAACATAGGTTTATATTTACTAGCAGATCCGGCCACACATTGCTGTGGCATACACATATGAAAATCGTTAATTTTGCAATAAAAAATGGAAATAACCAGAATAAAAACTATGCTTTCTTTTAAATTGGAACAAATCACACAATACAATATTTGAGAAGAAAATGTCTTAAGATTAGATATGTAGTTTCAGAGTATCCTGGACCAACATCGTGTCACGGGAATTATATATATGAAGATTATAAATCTATTTTATATAGTATGAAGAATACAATCGTTTTTTATTACTACATTTTTTACCCATCTTTTGTATCAATTTATAATAAAAACTTATATGTCGAATAAATAAAAATGTTGCTAACATTTAGTCCATGTCATTTTATGAAATAAAACTCATTATCTAATCCTTAAGGAATTTTTACTACAATTTATATAGTCCCAGATACTTAAAAAACTTAATGACTATAAATTATTGAAGAAAAAAGTTTTGGTTTGGATTCTTATTTTATTTTCTAACTGGCAACTTTCTTCCACTTTGCCCAGTTTATTTTAATTTTATATTTTATTTATATTCTAAGCCTACTGCTTTACATCTCTTATGGAATTGAATTTTGAAATCTTTGTAATATGTCTTACCTATTTATTTCCATATACTATAAATATAAAGTAATTAATTATATAATTAATGATGTTTTGTTTCACAATATCTTTCTTTGTCTTCTTTTCCTAAATATTTATTGGCGACTCACCCTCCCTTTGCTCGAGTTCACCCCTAGCTTGATTCCCCATACAAACTGTCATTACCATTTTCACCCCCTTAAGGGTTGATTTCTGGGATAAAAAGTATCATGTCCTTCCCAGGGTCTCAAACTATCTTCTTACCTAATTTCATCTATATCGATTCAGTAGATCCCGAGATTACCCCCTACAATGTCACAAACTCACAATTCACAAACTTTACCTCTTTATAATATTAGTATAGATTAAAAATTAAAAGGGTTTTCAGGGCTAAAATAATGTGTTGTTTAAGGAAGTTGTGTCTTAAAATTATTGGTTACCCAGGTTTTGGCTGTGTATTATTCATTTATTTATTTGGCAGTGAGCAGAATGTCGGGCGCTGCGGCTGGCGGAGCCAGCACCTCTGCCTCTGCCCTTGGTGGCCTTGGAGGGTCATTAGAAGACAAAGACTGTGACCTACTCTGCCCAGTCTGCTTTGAACTGATCGACGAAGCGTATGTCACCCGATGCGGTCACTCCTTCTGCTACACTTGCATTGCGAAGTCTGTAGAACTGCACCGACGATGTCCAAAATGTGGGGCAGCCTTAGCTGGTCGAGATCATTACTTCCCAAACTTTTTGCTCAATGAATTAGTGGCCCGACGAAGGTTGAGAAGCCGGCCACCAGTCACTAGTGGTCCAGCAGCAGCGTCTCCCGGTGCTGATACAGAAAGATTAAGAGCACTTCTCGCGTCCGAAGCAAGACATTTGGCGTTGCCAGATGTGGAAGGGATGCTGGATGTCTTAACGAGAAGAAAGAGATTGTTAGAAGCAGAATCCGCGGCAGCTCACCACAGATTGCTATATGAGTTTCTCGCTCAGCTGCTAAGGCATAGAACGCATCAGTTGGACCAATTGGCAAGAGAAGCTGCGCTCGTTAAAAAAGTAAGTTGTTCTTAAGATTTTGAATTATATTTTTTGACTTATTGAAATCGCTAATATCTAACCAAATTAATAATTACTGTTAAGCAATGTTGGGACATTAACACACAGTGCCATCTAGTTCCGTCGTAAGCTACGAGGCTTGTGTTATGGATACCAGATAGTTGATACACTACACATATATAACTTTAAATACATACATATTATAAATGTAAACATCCATGACTGGAGTACAAACATTCTTGCTCATCACACAAATGAATGCGCCCAGTGGGACTCGAACCCGCGACTGCTGGCACAGCAAGTAGGGTTACTACAAACTGAACGAAAGACTCTTCTTACTCTTAAGGAACAGGAAGTTTTCCTAAAATATTTGTGGTTTGAGTTCCACTGAATTTTTAATCCAGGTCTTCTCAGGACTGAGACCTTTTGTTTCTGAACTGGTTTTTGGTAGATACACAATGTTCAATAAGAAAATTATATTAATGTAATCGGACTGGTTTTATAAATGCGAAATTTTGTATTGTACACAACATACATACATTTTGTGTGTGTAAGTTGCTGTACTGGCTGGTATTGGCATTTGGATGAAATGTAATATTAGGGATTTTCATATTTATTTTTGATTATTGAATATCTTTATTTATTTATTTATTTATGTATAACTAGCAGAACCCGCGGCTTTCGCTCGCGCTAAAACTACAAAAAACTAAGGTTATAGACGTCTCAAACACATACTTGTTACAGACAGTACCTACCCACTATTTTACAAAAATGATTTCAAAAATTCAAAAATGGCAATAAAGTACCTTACAATGTACTCGTATCTATTATTATTATTATTTATGTTGGGTGTGGTGCCGAGGTCGGCCCTAGCTACGTCGACCAGTTTTGGTCCATTGTAGCTCCCTTTTACTCGTATCTATGATGATTTTTATTTCTAAACGTTTAAAAAAAAATTAAAGAGTATTATAATTAAATATAGCAATATAATTTATTTAATTTTAGCTAATTAACATTTATAAAACTTATTTATTCTATTTGTATATTTGTACTGTATGTATTACATATGTATGTATGTATGTATGTGTGTATGTGTGCATATATTCATCCATTCAATTCAACAGGACATGGAGCATGTAGCGGGCGTTCTAAGGGAGCTACGACAGGGGGCTGCGGAGTTGGGACGTCTCCCGTCGCCGTCCGAACCTACGTCCATGGTCGAATCTGTGCGGGACGTGCGCCCGAGACTGGGCGAGCTTGGCGAGACAGCACCGAGTATGTGATATGATATATGTATATACTAATACGACAGTCTAAATTAATTATGTAAAGACAATTTTGAACAGTCATTATTATCGATACAGAGACCAAATTTTTTAGGATTTTTGTCTATCCGCCTGTCTGGAAACGCATCACGAGAAAACCACTGGACAGATTTTGATGAAATTTACTATTTATTAACATATAGGATACTTTTTACTGCAGGAAAATATCTCATCTCTGAGAAATCTATAAACATAATACTAAAAGTTTAAAAGTGAGTAGGGATGTACCAGAGCGAAGCGAGGGTGAATCTCTAGTATATCTATATATATCTACATTGGTAACCGTTTTCATACAGTTATTCCAAATATAAATAAAATATAATATGGCCTTTGTACTAAAATCCATCAAAATCAAAACTAGTGTTGCCATCTAACTGTTAAATAATCACCAGAAAACATAATTTTTTTTCTATTAAATTCGGTTATCTAAATGATAATTGATAAAATCTATACATATTTATAACAAAGTCATCCGCCGCGTCTGCCTGTCTGTCGTAACACGATGAACTCGACAACTACCGAACGGATTTTCATACGGTTTTCATTTAGTAATAGGTGGAGTGATTCATGAGGAAGGTTTATGTGTATAATTCACCAAGGTTTTGTGTAAATTGGCTGATATATGACGATGATTGTTGAAGATATCGGAAAAAATAATTTCGACTGGCAGCTCTATTGGAATGCGCCTCGACAATTGAATTATTTAAGGTTATATGTAATTGTTTAAAGGAAGCCCACCAAATGAGGAAGAGGAAAGTTTCGCTAGTGGTGCGGGGAATGGCGGGGACGCGCTCGCGGCGCGCTGGAGGCGCCTCGCTGCTCACTTTGATGATTTTGTACAGGTTTGACTCATATACTATATATAATACTTTCTTAGATTTACGCGAATATTTGACATTGACACGAATGCTTTACAGCGCAAATGGTCACGGGAGAGACTAAGGTTTAAGATGTCTCAAAAGCATTATAAAACTGTCTGTAATAACTATATAATACCTTAGAGACATCTAACACCTCAGTCTCTCCCGTGACCATGATTGCTGTAAAGCGTTCGAAACGTCGGGAACCAAAAATCAAAATGAATTCGCGAAAAAATCCGAAAAGACAGTTTTATTTGAAAGATTTGACTCACTTTAATTATTTTTAGGGTTCCGCACCTCAATAGGAAAAAGAAACCCTTATAGGATCAATTCGTTGTCCGTCTGTCTGTCAAGACTCTTTTTCTTAGGAAAGAGTGGAGGCATCAAGTTCAAATTACCTGACTATATATTGAATCGTCACAAATCAACTGCAATAATGGGTCTTGTTACTCATTCACGCCAGAAAGGCTGAACGGATCCGGATGGAATTTGGCACAGAGATAGATTATAGTATGTGTAAGATACAGAGATAGATTATAGTGTGTGTAAAATGTAAAATGAACCAAGCAATACTTTTATTTTTATAGTTTTTACATATTTCTTTGTCATAGTAATATAACTTTTACTAGCATTGTTAACCGAGCAACAATATTTCATTTGTAAATCAAATTGTGGTACTCACGATACAGGCTTTGCCTAGTGTGAGTTACACTCAGATATAAAATATATTGTAAGCTAAACTTTTTGGACAATAAAGATTATTATTATTAGTATGGAATAACACATAGGCTACTTTTTATCCCGGTATAAAATGTACGGTTCCCGTGGGATAGGTTTGTTTTTGTTTTCAAATGACGAATTTGGGAAACATTGAATTTCAATATCTTAACAATTGCATTCAATGTTACCCAAACACACAATAAACTAAACTATAACACCAACTCCAGTGCTACTTCGCCCACCGCGCCGACGAGCTGTACTTCCCCGGGTCGGGGGCGGCGACGCCGGCGCAGCCCGCGCCCTGCGGCGCCGCCGACGCCGACCCCGTGCCCCAGCAGGCCTCCGCCCCCGAGACCAGGGCGTCCAGTGCGATGGGTATGTCACAATGTTGTTAATAGGATAAGTAAATTGGCCTCATGGTGTAGTTAGTGGCCAGCATGTACGGCTGGAGGTCTGTACATTTAATATTTTTTGTAAAATCTTACTGAAATAAACATTATTATCGATACGGAGGCCGAATCTATAGTTTTTAGAATTTTTGTCTGTCTGCCTGTCTGTTACCATATCACAGAAAAACCACTGGAGGGATTTCGATGAAATTTGGTATGGTGATAGCTGGTTATCCGGGTCAACATAAAGGATAGTTTTTACCGCGGAAAAATATCTAATTTCTGAGAAAAAATACAAAAACTGCATTGTAAGAGTATACTAATATGTAAAACCTAAGAATTTTGTTTTTAGTCATCTGAACGCGGGCGGAGCCGCGGGCAATGCTAGTAGTGAATAAATGTTTTAAAATTTTGGGACAGGAATAAAATACATTCAATTGTGAAAACATGGAAAAAAATACTTAATCGATATTGTAAATAAGGGCTACAATTAAAAATCTGTATATAAATATTATAAATGTGAAAGTTTGAGAGTATGGATGTTTGTTACCCTTTCACGCCAGAACGGCTGAACGGATCTAGATGAAATTTGGCACAGAGATAGATTATAGTATGGAAAAACACACAGGCTTTTTATCCCGGAAAAATATACGATTCCCGAGGGATAGATTTGTTTTTGTTTTTCTAGAGGCGAAGTGAGAGGTGAGCCGCTGGTATTACAATATTTTCTTTTTGTAGGTGATCAACGAGCACCAGAAAGCGAGCCACAACCAACTAGCGCCGCCAACAGTGTGCCGCAATCCGCCCCCGCCCCAAGCGTGGGCGGAGCGCCCAGCGTGGTGGGCGGGGGTGAGGGCGGCTTTGGAGGTCTAGAAGCATTCAGGGAAGACCTAGCTGCCTTCACCCGCTACCGAGCCCTCCGCCCTCTCGCAACCCTCTCATACTGCAGCGACGCAATTAATTACTCAACAATAGTGTCAACGATAGAGTTCGATAAGGACGATGAGTTTTTCGCGATCGCCGGTGTCACCAAACGTATTAAAGTGTTCGAATTCGAAGCGGTAGTTCGTGATGCGGTGGACGTACATTACCCGTGTGCTGAAATGCAGTGTTCTCATAAAATATCGTGCGTCTCGTGGAATGCTTACCACAAACATGTGCTAGCGTCTTCTGATTACGAAGGTACAGTTAGTGTGTGGGATGCTAATACGGGAGTTCGCACCAGATCTCTCCAAGAACACGATAAGAGATGCTGGTCAGTCCACTTTAACCGAGCTGATGTGAGACTCTTGGCTTCAGGGTCTGATGATGCAAGGGTCAAGCTCTGGTCTCTCAATGCTGAACGTTCAGTGGCCACCCTGGAAGCTAAATTCAATGTGTGCTGCGTCAGATTCAACCCAAGATCCTCATGTCATTTAGCATTTGGTTCGGCAGACCATTGTGTTCATTATTATGATCTCCGAGCGCCCAGGGCTCCGTTAGCGGTCTTCAGGGATCACAGAAAAGCGGTTTCGTACGTCAAATTCGTCGATGCCCGCACACTAGTATCGGCTTCAACGGATTCCCAATTAAAATTATGGAGGGTAGAATCACCACGCTGTGTCCGGTCCTTCACCGGTCATACAAATGAGAAGAACTTCGTCGGCCTAGCAACGGATGGTCGATATGTGGCATGTGGATCGGAGAACAATGCCCTATACGTGTATTACGCTGGTCTGTCACGTCCGTTACTGGCATACCGTTTTGATGCAGTAAGAGGTTTCTTAGAACGGGAGCGTCGTGATGAGGAGCCCGCAGAGTTTGTATCTGCTGTGTGCTGGCGTCGGTCCCCGGAACGCCCCGCCCTCCTCGCTGCTAATAGCCAAGGCACCATTAAAGTACTTGAATTGGTTTAATACCCCCAATTACCCCTATCCACTACCCTTATCAAGTAGTCTAAGATCTGGAGAGGTTCTTGTTCGTACATTTGCTTAGTTGATAAATGTTTTAGTTCAAAAATATAATATATAAATAAATATATTGCAGATTGGTTGCTTGCTGCATGTTCTAAATTGTTTGTATCAATTAAGCAGATCTATGAAATATAAAACTTCTTTTGTGTCTTCTACACAGGGCTCGGAACTGGTTTAAAAATACCGGTTTATTTCTGTAATGTAAGGGTTAATTCATCGCACGTTTTTTAACCGGTTATTGGAAACGAATGGTTAAGGAAACCGAAATAATAATGGTTGTCGGTTATTCTTAGAGAAATGTAAGATTTCGGTTTTGATACCGAAATAAACCGATTAATTCATTCATAAGTAAGAAACGTACATATTATATCGTTCTACTATGCCATTCACAATTAGCAAAGATTCACAAAATGTAAACAGACAAAAACTCATTTTAACCAGTTAATTTCGATCATGAAACCTAAATTCGCTATTAACCGTACTCCGGGTTTTAACCGGTTAAAGCACGTTACCGAAACATTAAAACCAAAAAGCCTAGGTTTGGAGTCAATGACTAAAACCGGTTTAAAAATTGAACGAGTATCTGAGCCCTGCTTTTACAATACATTATTTTATTCCAAATCTCTTTATAAAGATACTAAGTATTGCTCCATAATAGTCCCAAATATTCTCTTTGTCTTTTTTTTGTTAGTTTCTGACATTAATTTATCTATATACAGACTGTATAGAGTAATTTTTATATTTAAAATATATATTAAAACAAAAAAATAATATTTTCCTAGATTTTCGCTATTTTTCATGACTAAAACTTCTTTAAATGGTAAATTTAAATTTAACTTAATTAAAATTTTAACCTCAACAAAAACCCTATAAACTATGAACATGTCCAGTTAAGCGTTGGAAAAGTTTTGAATATATGCACAATCCATTTAAATAAGTTTATTTATGAAATAAATAAAAAAAAAACAATAAAAAATTTAATAATTATTGCTATATTCTCAATTTTTTTAGAATTTTTTGTCTCGAACAATAGTCCATTCTACTTATGAAATAAATTAAGATAACGTTCATAGGTTTGATAATTAAAAAGTAATATATTCGATTAAATATCGATTTTATTATAGTTTATCTCTTATACATATATGTACAATTTACATTGATCAAATAGTACTAGATACACAATCAGCGACAAAAAATGTCCTCACCGAATGAGCGCTCATTTGAGCATTTGAGCGCGCTTTTAATTTTTTTTTGGTAAAAACAACTCTAAACATTGGATTTTGAGGTTCAATTTCAACTAGAACAATTACCTAAACACAATTGGTGACAGTTTTAAGAGAACTTTTGCATGGGATTGTGTATCTACTACTTTTTTGATTGATGTACATATTATATGTTTAAAACAATAATAATCCTCTTCTTAACAAAAAATACCCATTTTAACTACATCTATTTACAAAATGGCGATGACACTAATCACATTGAATAATACAATATAATATTAAATAAACTATATAATATTAAATTTTTCATATAAAATTAATAGAAATGGCAACATCAAACCATTGCAATAGTGTAAGAAGTTTAATTTGTATTTCGTCTCTTTTAGTGATATAAATATTACAATCGTTTTAAATAGCTTACAAGTTACATAGTTTATTATAAACAAACAAACAAATCTTTGCTCTTTATAATATTTGTATAGTCAATATTTTTGGTTTATAAGAAAACTAGCAGAACCCGCGACTTCAACCGCGCTAAAACTACAAAAAAAAATTCATGCCTTATTTTACCCCCTTATAGAATGAATTTCGAAAAATGCTAAACTAAACACGTATTTATTTAATTCTACTCAAGATAATTAATACCAAGTTTCAAGTAATTCTGATCATAAATATTTTTTTGGGTTGTATTTTATCGTGTTTTCTCGTGGGAATGAGATAATCTCCCGCGGTAAAAAGTAGCCTATGTCACTCTCCAGCCCTCCAACTATCTCCACGCAAAAAATCACGCCAATCCGTCTTTCCGTTTCCACGTGAAAGAAGGACAAACAAACACACTTTTACATTTATAATATTAGTATGGATGATATAACAAAAAATGTGATTAGTGAGTCCGCCCTTCAGTATATAATTATTATAACACAAATATTATATGTCACTAGGTTTTAATATATATCGCAGATCTTATAGAACTATTCTAGTACAGAAACTCCATCCCAAATAAAAAAAATGGATCAGTCCTGATTTAGGCTATTTAGTTTAACTTCAATAAGAGATAGATGGCGCTGATCTAAAGCTGCTAGAGCACTTTGTTTTATAAAAGGTTTAAAATATATCAAAATACGTGTAATAAGCGCCATTTTTTAATACAAAACACGACCTCTTTACCTAATGACTTGTAAAATCATTAATAAGTAAAATTGTTTCAATTTGATTGATTTTCAATTTTTAGACGTTTTTTTAATAGAGTATATAATTTTAGGATCTTATTTATTTTTCTAGTGTTTATTTTACATAAATAAAATGTTAAATGAAAATATTTAAAAAAAACGCCATCTATTGACAAAGATTAGAGACAAAAATCTTAATTCGAATGAGGCACCATTGATATCTAATGTTAATTTTAAACCAAAATGTACGAGTTAATTGAAATTTTTTTTAAGAAAAATAGTAAAAATACTTTATAAATATGAGTACATTAAGTAATAAAATCTCACTCTTTTTAATCTGTGCAAATAATTTTCAACTCATTTTGACAGTTTTTCAAAGCCCAGTTTCATTTTCAATTAAAACTATTAAAATTATAATAAAATTGACTTTATAATTAAGAAATAAGTGTTGTGATGCGCTTTATCGGTATAGATTTAGATGTAGTGGAAAAAATAATATCCCTTTAAATCCCATAGATTACGGTATAAAATGGAGGAATTGTATATTTGACTGCCATTGAAGACTTAATGTTATACGATTATATGATACATATGTTATAATTACTCTGTGACTGGCATATTATTATTTTTTTAATTTTTAAACTATTTGAAATAATTATTAATTTTCCTTTAACTGGTTTAAAATTGATAATTTAAAATATATTTTTTTACGATTTAATATCAAAAGCTTATCTATTAGGCATTACACGCCAAATCAGACGGTTTCAAAAAATTTAATTTTTTTATTTTCTTAATATTATGGTATTTTTAGTACATCTCGAAAGAGGCTTCTTGGTAAATTTTGAGTTTTTGATCCCATGTCGTATTTCAAAAAACCGCTCTTTTTTTGTATTTTTTTTGCTCATGGGGTCTTAATTGCTCAAATGAATAATTTCCCACACTAAAATCTTCGAAGATAATATATGGCCAAGTTAACATGTTATACGTAAAATTCCCATCACTAGCTAAAGTTGTGATATAGCATAGTGATGTGCCAAGCTGATAACTAAAATAATTTTAGAATTATAAACTATTATTTAGCGATTTGATGCGAATGTGTTATTATTAACATATGTGTGTGTGTGTTACTTATTGATGGTTGCGGGTTCAAATCTGTGAGGGGTAGATTTTTTATTTTTTAATCCAAAAAGTATTGAATTTGATAACTGATATTACGTGATTAGAAAGATAATTGCAGCTTCTTAAAATTAATTATTTATTAAATTTGAGTACAGTCAACAAAAAAATATTTCTTTAAAAAATTAGTGATTATATGTATATTGTTATATAATGTAAATATTTTTTAGAAGATTGTAATTTCTATATTTTATGTCTTTTTCTATCTTTACTAAATTACTGATAGTAAATTAACGCCCTGTTATTCCCAATTGGTTAAAAAAAATGTTTATCGATATTAAAGAATTTTTTTTATTAATTGAATTTAGTGTTTTTAAATATTTTTAATATCTAACACAGTTTATATTATTTTGCGTTGTGTTCTCTCGGAATTTTTATTATGGACTTAGTGATGTTATGAAAAGTAAACTTATTGAGTACTAGCGACTCATCTTTGCTTCGCTCGGGTTCGTTCCTATTTATATATAGATGCTGTGCCAGCGGTCGCGGGTTCGAGTCCCGCTGGTGGCATTCATTTGCGTGATGAGCACGAATGTTTGTTCTCCAGTCATAGGTGTTTATATTTATAATATGTATTTAAAGTTATATATGTGTAATGTATCAAATATCTGGTATCCATAACACGAGCCTCGTAGCTTACCATGGAATTCGATGGTGCTGTGTGTTAATATCCCAATATATTTATTTATATTTATAAAACAAAATGGTCACCCATCCATGTTTCTAAGGCCGTTGCTTGACCGTCAAGATATTAATCCTGATTATAATCGTACTACTGGAGAACACAGCGCAGAATATTTTTTTGTAGTCTTCTAAGTTTTATATCAAATATGCTGTAGTTTTAGTTTTTATATTATTCGCTATAAGTTATTAATTGTAGTGTTGTATATTTGTAAATAGATCTCTTTATTTTATTTTTTGTTTTTTTTTCCTTAATTTCTGTTATAAGATTGCCAGAATATTATATTAATCCCTCCACGACCGCGGACACGCCAGCGTGTCAGTTAACCATAGATTTCTTAGAATTTTAATTAATTTCTTAGAAATTTACCTGAAGGTGTTAATTACTAGCAGAACTCGCGGCTTGGATCGCGCTAAAACTACAAAAAAAAATTCTAAAAAAGCAGTTTCATACAAATTTTTATCCCCAATTTTACCTCCTTATAGGATGAATTTCGGAAAAGGCTAAAATACGTATTTATTTAATTTTATTGAAAAGCATTAATACCAAGTTTCAAGTTCCTAATTCTAATCATAAATATTTTTTTGGATTGTATTATAACGCGTTTTCAATCAGATAATTTCCCGCTTATATTACTCCCCTTCCAACTACCTCCACACAAAAGTACACGCCAATCCGTCGATCCGTTTC